TTGATCATATTACTGTATTGTTGCAGGTTACAGAGGAGACAAACAATGTCCTACAAACACTGGGGTACATGAGCACCTGTAGAGGAATCATAAATGTAAAAGGAAAAGGAGAACTGAAGACATACTTTGTACATACAGAAATGACAAGATCCCTTTCACAAGGGAATGTGGCATCCTGAAGAATGCTCGTAGATGTTATCAATCCTGTATTTTCAGGAAAGTGTCACGCACTTTTTAACTACATTTTGGCCCTTAACATGCGTGCTATTTTCTGGTATGTGGCACTTATTTTAATATGGCTGCAGAATAGTCCCATGATCCATCATTTGATATTCCTATGTTTGAGGACAGTTGTGTAGCACGCTCCAGGACTGGAAGACTGTACTGCAACTTGCACTGTTACACGAAGAGAAGAAAAGAAGAAACAGAAATTGGAGGTAGCTCATCAGGAAAGGACCAAAAAGACACGTTAGTGGCAAACGGGGGGAAAAAAAGGCAATAAAGCTAGGGGTGCATACTGTTTTCTGATGCATGGTGTTCTCTGGAAAATATGGTAGCTCCCCAATAGCATCAACTAATCTGATATTAAAATATACAGTATTTGTAAATAAGTTTACTCTGTCCACACATGATTTGGATGTCATCACCAGTTGCATCTCATAGCCAGGGACACGTTAGGTGGCTTGCTGGCATCCTTTCTGGAGAGAGAACTAACAACGCTGGAACAGTTTTGTACAAACGTGTCAAATGTTTTGAAGCTATTGTCTTTTGTAAGGTTAATTCATTAAAAGTTTATATGTACTTTGCCTTAGTGTTGCTGTCTCTTAGTTTTGCTTCCTTCCCATGGCTTCTCTTGCTCTCAACTTGTCTCCTGCTGCTGCTGCTTTCTATTCAGCAGTTAGATGTGGTGGCAGGCTGCAGCTGGCTGTTTCAGGAGCATTAAGTCTTTAATATCTGCTAGGTTTGCTCAGTCTTGTCAGAAATTGAATCTTCTCTGTTATCTTTGTCATGACTGATATCTAGGCACTTTGTAGCCTAGATATCCCTGGGTGATGCAGAAGTCTTACCCTCAAATCCATGAAAACTAGCAAAGTGGAGGATGCTGATAGCAGTGTTACTGCCTTGCAACAGGCCTGCTATGCTCAAACAGTAGCTAGGAGCAGCTGTACAACGGAAAAAAAAATTGGGGTTGTTTGGTTTTTTTGGTTGTTTTGCACTTCGATATCCTCTTTTGCCCTTGCCTGCCTTTCACTTACCTTTACAGTGCTGGATTTCATGGGATGTTTAAAACAATATCTAACTTACCAAAACATAATTATGAGTGATGGACACAACAATGCTAGATACATTGATAGATACATACAAAGATGTTAGATAACTGAAATCTTGTTGAATTAACAAGTATCACAATTGGAAACTTTTGTAGAGAGGGACAGGTGAAACGCCAAAAAAGCATGCAGTTGTACTACCTATGCACCTTTGAAGGACCCTGTAAAGCGTATATTTGCTTTGCTATTATCAGCATTGAACTTAACATATTCTTAACAGCCTAACAAGAACAAAATTAATAAAATCTTCCTATTTCAAAAATAACATAAAATTACAAGATTTTTTTTCTGGATAAGTCATGAATAGAGCTGTCAACTTGCACACTGCTAGCTCTGGCGTGCTAGTGTAGTGTAAAAAGCAAAGTATTCACAGGACAATCTTTCAGATTTCTCAGTCATGAAACATGTATTTCCATTTGTATTGTATTGTTGTCCCTTGAGAAGGAGTTCTCAAAACTGTGGGTCACAAATAAATGGCATCTGGCACTTGGTGAATGGTCATGGGTCACTCATGGCAGCCAGCTGCTCACTGGCAAATTGGAATGGCAGCAAATTTCAGAATGTCACAATTTGCAACAGAATAGACGGTTTAAATTTGGATCATTTTCAGTTAGTCTGAAACCGAGTGCAATTTATTCAGATGTTCAACATAACACAATCAACATCTCACCCAGCACTGGAAACCTTTCATCAGTAGCTTTCAAAATAGGTACCAATCTAATAAAGTTCCCATTAAAAAAAAAAAAAAAAAAAAAAAAAAAAGTTGATGTCCTTGATGTCCTTATCATTCCTTCCCTTTAATGAATAAATTAAGATAAATATTTTCCAGTGGAATGAAAGAGCTCATTGATACATTAGAAATAATTTGCTGGTCACTTCCAAAACCCACCTGTCAGATAATGTTGCTTGAGATTCCCTCCCTTCCACTGACTATAAATCTGCCATAGGAACATACTCTTGTTCATACAAAAAATATTTTATCTCTTAGACCATGAATGGAACATACTCTTGCTCATACAAAAAATATTTTATCTCTTAGACCATGAATGTATGCTGAGCCCTTTAAATCATACCAGTATTATCATGAGTCAAAGTAATCATTTCTAATTGTGGATGAACATCCTTTATGTAAAGTTGACATTGTATTGTCATAACTATATGCAGCTTTCAGGTATAACCTGTACCTTCAAGGTTGTGCTTTTCAACTGTATTCTTGCACATTTTGTGAATCTGTAGCAAACCTCGTACCTAACTTGATATACTTGCTTCTATTATTTTTTTATAAAAGTTTAAAAAGATTGTATTTCTGTAAGCCATAAAACATTAAAACATTTGAATGGCCATGAACTGACTGGTCCAATGACATGGAAGTATATACATATGATTTATATAATATAAATAATAAATATATAAATAAATAATACTTCATAAATACTATTGTATACAGTAATATAATCTTTTACTGTATTTTCAAATGTTAAGTATAATCAAAATAGATCAAAAGCCATTCAGAAAGCTCATGTCAGGCATTTCATAGCTGCATTTTATAGCTGCATTCAGACTCTTGCTACTATGCAGACAAATCCCGCTGAACAAAAGATAAATAGCCATGCAGTTTGGTGCCCTAGGCAAAGGAAGGTTCATATCATCCTTCAGTTGCTGCCTTCAGTTGCTGAGTATAATTATTAAGATCCCTAATATCATATCCCTATCCCTCTAATGCCATGAAGTGATTTCCATCCAGTAAATAATTTTGTTGTCTCCCTGTGCATTTTACTTCTACTGTTCATACTATTTTATTTTTCCCCTGTCTAGATTTACCTGGAATTATTTTGTTGTCTTTCTTCCATTCTTCCAGCAATTTCATCTGCCTCCTTAACTGGATATTTGAAAATATTTATGATTTGAAAACACGACAAACAAAAATCAGCAATCTGCATGTCATATATTCTACATCATAGTAAGGCTTCACTTTCACAACTTGTGTTGTTGCTATAGATAGTAAGTTGCTAGCAAATCACAATCTGAAAATTTCCAAAGGCAAATGGTGCACATATACCTAACAACAGGAGGCAGTAGCCAAAATATCAATTCAGTGATTCACTATAATCTGGGAAAAATGAGATCCAGAGGAGAAATCTTGAGACGTCTGCTGGATTGCGTATTCAAAGTCAGTGCTTGCCTCCCACTCAAGGAGGGCTATCAAGGGCCAAGAACAAATCTTGAACCTGCAGTTATTCTTTTTTTAACTAAGCAAGCAGTCAGGATTACATTATATCCTATTTATCCTTCATGAAAATCAGCTTTCATCCTCTTCATTTAAGTTTCATGTGCACTATGAAGTAACTATAGAATTTAGCTTTTCCCACAGAAGTACAACTAAGAGCACCCGAGCAGGGAGCACAGCCTGCTCATTGCTGGAGAAACAGCTAAACATCTGAAAGCTGGACTCTTGAAGAACAGTTCTCTATCCTTTCCTGTATAAATTAGTGGAGAAAACAAATGTAGAATAAAAGCTATATGTGCCTTAAAATAAAACAAGTACTTAAAGGAGCATTTATTTTCCTTAAGTACTTTCAACTTTTGTGGATATGTCCGAAAGGGTGTAGAAATCAACTGTAGCTGCTACATCCTGAAGTTCTTTGCATATTCATTTTAGAATCATTCAGATTTGGGAATAGGAATTACCCAGGTAAATTTTAATATATCAAAATGCATTACAATGACATTTTAATCCTGTTTGTAATTATGAAGGTATGAACCCCATTGAGTTGAGGAATGTCACTATCCAAAGCAAAGGTTCTGGCAAGAACTGTTTGCAAATCCCTGGTGGAATATTTTTCAAAGATAAAATATGACAATTGAGATGTTCTGCATGAAAATTCAGCTTTGACAGGAAGAAGTACATGTGAAGTATTTTGAAAGATTGACATTCCTGGACCAGGCACTTTCACGTTTGCATTTTAAATCAGTTGTTATAAATGGGAACTGTGATGTCCACTGGACGTGTAAAATTGAGTATTCTGTTTATTTATCTCGGTGAATGTTCATTTGGCATGGGGAACTAAAGTAGCCACGGAGCAGCTGTCAGTCATCATCCGAACAGTAACTGCAAATTATATCAACCAGTCATCATTTCATAGTATAATTGTTTTAAACAATTAGAGTAAAAATCATTATCATAATATACTTGAAAAGCCTGATTCACCGGTCAAGCAGTAAGGATTGCAGGAACAAGCCCACCAGGAAGCATGTGCAATCTGCAGACTGAGACTCAATCATGCAGTTATGGAGAGCCTCATTCAAAACAGTAGATACATTTCAGGAAATGAAAAATTGTCCTGGGTTGCTGAGGGACAATAGAACCCCTGGAAAACTGTAAAAAAAAAAAAAAAAAAATTGCTGGTGATGCACAGTTGCCTCGCCGTAATTTATAGCACCGCTAAAGAGCCTCCTTGTCAGGGACAGGTGTGTGCCCATGGCTAACAGGGTCCTGAGCTGAAACAAGGACTGTGTGCAAAGAGGGCCTTGGTCTTGGCCTCACAAAAGTGAGCACTGGTGCAATATTCGAAGCAGGAGAATTGAGGAAACTCAGCAGCAATCTGGGAGTCATTTTTGTTGTCCCTCTCCTGCCAGGAAGATGGGTTGCAGCAGTCACTGGAAGGGTCCATCATGGCTCAGGGAAGAGCCAGAGACACGTGGCGATCTGACCTTTTTGGAGGCCAAACTGCAAGGATGTGAGCTGAATCACTGAGCCTCAACATCCTTCTGGCTCTAAAAATACAAATTGTCTTGTTTGAAATGCAGAGGTCTTACTGGGGGAGTTGCAGGAGGGTAGTGCTACTCCCTAAAGTGGAGCAGGTTCCATTTTTTTTTCTCCTTGGGAATCTGATTGCAAAGCAAAACTTTTGACACCGGGGTCTCTGGACTGTGCTACCCTAAGCTCCCCAAGACTCGAGACTCATAGTCCCAGCAGTCTCCAGAAATTTCTGCTGCCGGAATTCTGTGGCAATTCCAGGCTTGCTGCTGGCCTTGGCACAGCTCCCGGCCAGCGTTACCTGGAGACAGCACAACAGGGCCAGGAACCCGCCACTCTCCTCCGAGTGCTGCTCCGTGCGGCCATGCAGAGGGAGGAGAAGGAGGAGGACAAGGATGAGGAGGGGGGAGAGGAAGGACTGCCTGCTCCGGCTGGGAAGAAGCACTGGCTGCCGCTGTCAGCCCAGTCGGCCTTCAGCTACATCCCGCCAGGGCGACAAGATGTGCCCGAGCTCAGCTATTTCCATCGGGGAGCCAAGGTGAGGACTAAAAGAGCATATACATGTACATATAAACTAATTTTAAGAAGAGCTTGGCCCCCCACGGTCAGCACTCCTTCCCACCAAAGTAAAGCGATGTACGCTTGAAAAGTCACTTCACATCTAGGAGGTGCTTCCTTCCCAGAGCATTATGTGGAGGCTGGGTAGAGTAATATATTTATATGTTATAAATGGTGAGAGCTGCGAAGACCCCTGGGGAAATCAATAAGGAGACACAGAATAACAAAACTTGGTGGGAGACCTCTGCACAGTGTAATTAAATCTCATTTAATCACTAAATAACTGATTAAACTTCATCACGGGAGATGAAGTCGCTCAAGCGTTTGGAAAGAAATACCATTAATATCTTAAAGGCCTCCTAAATCAGGCCCACCAGAATGTCACCCTCTTGCCTCGAGCTAGGCAATCTTCCATGGTAACTTGGAACTGAAGTAGTAATTTTTGCCCATGCAAAGGGTAGCTGATGCTTCTCACATGCGTACAGAAAACGAGGGAAGGGAGCAAAGCCTTGTTTACCCAGTCAAACATGCACTATTAGCAGTCCTTTTATGAGACGTTCCCTTTCCAGGTGAGGGTTTTCTGCATGTACCACACCAGTTTTGCACGTGCTCACCTCTAATATAAAAAAAATAAAGGGAGTTGCTCAAAACATGCTTGGATACCTGCATTTTTTTCTGAAGACTGAGCACTGACACTTAAAATGTAGAAACAGAAGTAGATGAGGTAGGAGACTCATCCCAATGCTTTGTGCTTCAGTATATGAGTTTTTATACTCATTCTCTGAACCCTTAATCCTCGATCCAAGCCTTAGTTATTTATTTTAATCAGAAATGGTATGAACCTCTCTGTCTTTGAAAGCCTATCACAAAAGACGTTGAACAGCTTTATCACCAAAAAAATAGCTATAAAAAGTTCTAAAGTCTCTATAACAGCCATGTAATATAGCAATATATATTTATAACAATACCTATAAAATCCTGGTCTTAACTGCCAGCACAATTGGGATTTGCAACACTTGTAGATACAAGTCTTTAAGAATAATTTTCAGAAAACTAAAAATGATTTCAGAATATCTTTCAGAATAAACTGCTATATCTTGCAGAGTAGTTTAACCTAATTTTATAAAGGCTCTCAGATAATGTAGCACATAGAATGTCGTATACCTTTACACAGGACTGGAAGGGGGTCCTATAGCTCTTCGTGAATTCTCTAAACCTCCCATTATGGTGCTTGCTGAAAGTTAGAAGTCTTAAAATGTGATTCACAACATTCAGCCCTGAGCAGGGGACTACTTAGCCTTATTTTCCAGGGAAATCCCAAGTTGACAAGCATTTCTCCCCTCTAGAACTGGGCATATTAGGCCTCAAGATGATTATCCCTTCCTCTTGACATTCACAAATGGAAATTTTCTAATTTGAAGTAATTCTCATCATGAGCTTTCTTTCTTTCCTTCTTTCTCTTTTGCTATAACCTAGTATATGTAGCCTGTGGATCATCTACCCTGCCAAACAGCAGGCTGCTGAACACGGAGCGTGCTGAGCAGTCATGACCAGCAATATGTGAGATGCTGGTCAAGTCACAGGGGACAGGAAGGAGCCCGGAATCCAGAACAAAGCTGGTCGTAGAATCATAAAATTATTATGGTAGGAAAAGCCCTTCAACACCATTCCTGTTACATCATTTCCCTACACATTTCTTGAAAGAGCAAATCTCTTTCCAGCATTGACTAGGTAGTCGATTTATCATCTTAGAGTCTCCTATGCAGATCAGCTTTTCCCTGGAAAGGTGCTCTGAGTCCAAACCTGAATGAGCACAGTTAATGTCATGCATAACAAAATAAGGCTGGGAAGTGAGTGCAAGGGCAAAGCTAGGCAAGGGCAGAGGGCTGATTGTGACATGCCCAGAGCTGATGGGACTTGCAGGGAGAACATATATCCCGGCTGCAGGAAATTAGCAACCATATGGTAGAGCTTTTGTTTACAATATAAAGTCCGCTTTCACACTCCAGATGACCTGGTTTGCAGAAAATGCTGCTCCAGTGGCATGGAAACGGAAAGTGATAACAGCTGTTTAATAGGTTTCTACACAAGGCAGGCCTTGGCCAGGGGGAGAAACAGATTTGACCATTCTTCTGCACAGTTAATTTTTATTTATATAGGAAAAGAATTTTGTTCCTTTTTTCATCTTTAGAGACTTAAAATCAACTGTATGTTAGAGACTGAAGCAGATATACATAGAGGAAGCCTCAGTATATGGCCAGAAGCCAGAAATTCCTGCCTTTCAGGGAATTGCTCCCTATATTGCTTTCCACAAGTTAATGTAGCCAGTTTGTATTGTCTTGCTCCTTCTGTGACGTGAAGGATCAATTTCATATGCATGCCTGGCATACTAATGAATGTTTGCAAAGAGCTTAAATTTAGCTGCAGGATGGAGAGGGTGCTCACCTTGAGGACAACTTGTCAATTCTGCAAGATTGACTTGCTCTGATAGCTTTAAAAATCAACTTCTCTACACATAGCCTCAGCCTAGGTCTACTATGTCAACATTTAATGACAAGGAGAAAAAAACAGCAATGAGTTATCAGCAAAGTAAGTGTGTACAGTCAAAATATGCAGAATATGCAGCCACTAGGCAGTGAACTTACATGGGGCTTGATATGCAAAAGACTGAAGAATATCTTGAGCACAGAAGCATCTTTGTATTCCTGGCAGAATATCTTTGAGCAGATTATCTGGGACAGGGCTGGCTTTCAACATAACATGCTGGCTACCCTTCTACAAGTTCCAGAAAAACTATGCTATCTGCTCTGGCACAGGTAGTAAGTAATAGGCAAATAAGGCATGTGAATAAGAACAAGGCAGCAAATAAGGTAGTAGTTCCTGGTGGAACCTTCCTTAACATTACAAATAAAATTGTTAGTGTGGGGAGGAAAGGTAAAAGCAAGGGTGCAGGGAAATAACAGAGGTGACAAATCAGATGCTTTTCAATATGCCTGAAATTCTATGAGGCTTGATGGTTTCTGAGAAAAAGGTGAAATAGGCCAAAAATCAAACCATCTCTTTTCTGCCCTGAAAACAGTGAGGCCCATGTAGCCATCTTGGTCAGCCTTGACTTGAATATTTTTGGAGCACAGCAGTGGAAAGGGTAATAACCATAAAACAAGAATTTTTCAAAGGCTAAATTAGGCACACTGTAAACTTAGAGTAAGAAAAAAAAAGAAAAAGAAGTCCAACAAAACAGATTCCTTCTCAGATGTGCAGAAAATCAGCCATCAGGATGGATCTTTACCAGAATATGAGTATTTTAAAGCTCATAAACAAGTGACAGCATATTACAACAGGGGTCTTACTTTTCTTCCCTTCAAATGAAATACATGCACTGATCAGAATTGCTTGATTGCATTTCATTAATGCATTTCTTAGTAGACCAGGTTTTCCATATTACTTGTTAGTGGTTAAGGAGGTCAGAAGATATCATAAATACAATCTATTTACAATATGCTGGTTTGTGCTTTTTTTTTTTTTAATACATGACAAATACTCTTTTATGCACACTACTTTCACAAGATTGGTAATCTGGCACATCACTAGACAAATCAGAATTCTGCTTTATTCAGAAGTTAAAAGGTGATTCCCTTACAGGGTAACTTTTTCGCTCCAAATGAATTTTGAAACTACCTGCCTTTCTTTTGCATTAGAGTGACAGGTCATTTGACAAGTTCAGGCACTTAACAAGGAAAATAGAAAGCTCAGAGAAGGAAAAGTTAAATAAATAAATAAGCCAAACTTTCAAAAGTTACAATAGATTACAGAGGAAAACAGAAAAAAATCCCACAATGGAAACCTCAGAGATGAGCAAAGCAAAAGCTCTAAAAAACATGTCACTAGATGATTTTATTCCATACTATTCCAAATGACATAAAGGTCCCTTCCAACCTTAATCATTCTGAGATTCCGAGATTCTGAAATCTGTTAAGAGTAAATCAATAATGTTAGAATTGCCATCATCTAAGGCTGTATGTGCACTGCTTAACTGTTGATTTACCTACATATATTCTATAATCATAAAGTTGAACAATCCTATAAATTAGCCTTTTTTTTTCTTTTTCTCAAGGCAGGGAGTGTTTCCACTTACGATTCCATTTTTAAAAGACCAGAGGGTTACAACAAATACCTTCACCGATGTGACAGAGAACACGCGAAGAACCAAGGTCTTAACATAAATGATGAGGTAAGCCTTAGATAATCTTATGACCATCTTTTTAAAAGAAATTTTGTTCATTTCGATGCTCCTGGAGACCATAGAGACCAGTTTTAACATTTATAATGCAACATATATTGGAGCAAAGGAAATAGAAGTGCACTAATGTCCTCAAAAGAAGATTTAGAAGAGAGAGGTAACAAATAAAAACACCCCCTTTCCTTTTCCCTGAGCTAGTTCTTGCTTTTTAATATCCTGCAGATTTCTACTGGCACATTTGTTAGTCTAACTTTCCCCAGGCTGATGTGCTGGAGGGAAGCTGGTGCAAAGGAGAGCTTGATGAGACCAGGGACATGCCTGGAAAGGGCTGCCCAGAGCCAAAACCTGTGAGCCCAGCAGGGTCAGTGTTTGGTGTTCAGCCTCACAGCTGTGGAATTAGACAGCCATTTTCTTCACCAGCTGCCTTGAAAACATAAATACTATAACCTGTAGTGTATTAAAAAAAAACATATTTTTTTTCTAGGCCACAGCTGACTAACATATTTAGATCTATTTGTATGCAGAGGAGGAAGGCATCAAAAACAAAGTGCAACCTGTATTAATGGCCTCAAAATACTAATAGTTTCAAGGTTGGGAAGAGGTGGGTCAGAAAGGAATAACTGCCTATGTAAGTTGTTATATTATGACAGAGGAGAAGGGAAGAGAGAGACCAAAAGTAAAATTACTGTAATTGCCATGGGATGAAACTGTCGAGATTTTGGAACAAAGGCCACTGCTTGGAACAAAGGCCACAGGCTTTTTACCTGCCTAGTAGTTATATATGTTAAACATTTCAGTATATAGCTGCAGTCTTCTTCAATTCTAGCAGATAGAACAGGGAGGATTAGGCAGACACTGAACAGTCACAGAAATGCCCATTACTGTTATCTGCTCCCACTTATTCAGCTGCAAATCTGCATGAGGCCCAAAGCTGTGTAAATGACAACTCCAATTAAAAATGATTTTTTTCTTGTTATTTTTGTTTGTTTAAGCAAAAAGAAAGCAATCCCCCCAAGCTAAACACAACCTCCCACCTGGAGGCTTATATAAAAAGTCATTTATGAACGCAGAGTTAAGGTCTTTACTGAGATCTTGTGCCCTTGTGGTTATCAGCAGAGCCATTTTTGCTTAGCAGAACCAATTTGCTTCAGGAAGCAAATACCCGCAGGCCAGAAAATGCATGCAAGTGATTCTGCCAGGGAACTATTCTGAGCAGGTGTCCCTTAATCCAGGCCTTTAATTAGCATGGAGACAGAGGGAAAACACAGCTGTTAAATGCTACAGCCTGATCCTCATGCACATAATGACACCTAACACTGGACTTACCCCTTGTTAAATGCATGCCCCATACTCAATTCCCTCTCTCATAAACCCAAAGGCACTCACAGAGTTTGTATAATAGTATTTTTAGCTATATTATAAAAAGTAATCAATTAAAAAGGGCAAAGGCTGAACTGGCTGAAAAGGCAAAGTGCTTTAGTATAGCACAAAAGGAGACAGGCTGGATCTACCACAGTGCAATCCTTTCTTGGAAGTGAATAAAGCAAACTGTGCAGAAGCCAGCCCTTCCTTTCCTGCAGGGAGTTTTGGTGCGCACCGGGAGTCTGGCAACTCCATCACAGATACTCAGCTACAAGTAACAGGGACTGCAGCGAGGGTGTCCTCTCAGGGAAGCCGTTGCCAATTTCTGATGTTATGATGGTAGAATTAGAGGCCACAGAAGCATGAGCAGGACACTTCCCAGGCAGCTGCTGTAAAATTTGAAATCTGCTGAATGCAGATCCTGCAAAAATAATGAAATACCATGGGTCTACTTAATGCTGTGCTCCAAATGGAATCTGTTTACTTAAAGGGAAAATAAAGCTATCAGGATTACATGCTGCTGCCTGCCATTGGCACTGTAAACCTTGTTTCCCTAGCAAAAGTCCTCTCTGAGGGCACAAAGTTCTCTTGTTTCTCCCTTTTCAGCTTTATCCACAGGTGAGAGGAGGAGGAGGAGGAGGAAATGTCTTTATCTTTCTATATCTCCCACATTTCTTGACCGTTGATTTTTGTCCAGGTGTAGTCATAAACTGGTGTGCTGGATAGGTGTTAATACAAGACAGGCAGAGGGGAGAGAGAGAGAGTGCAAGTTGAGGAGAGAATGTTGCTTTGGAATAGGGGTTTTTGATTTATCTGAAAAAAAGGTTTGCAGCATCCTCCCAGCAATCGCCAACATAGATAATACCCAAACTGTGTTGTGGACTCAAGTCTTTTGGTGCTCTTTGTAGATGTTATTTATATCATAGTACTAGGCAAACACACCGGGGGCCAAGGCTGGTTGTTTTAGCCACTGCGCAAACAAACACGCAGTCTGATATATGCGAGACCTTTGGCTGGGGAAAGGAAAACAAACAGATCCTGCCTTTCCCTTCTGCCTCCAGAGCTCCCTGGTGCTGTAGCACAGGAAGGGACTGCAGATTGCGGATAGTGATTGCACGCTCCCTTAAAGAGCAGTGTAATAAGCACAGGCTGGAAAATAATCTTTTCTGGCTTGGGTTATTTTCAACAAATTCACTTCCCTTCATCACAGAACAGTTGCTTTTATAATCTTACAGCTACAGGCAGTCTTAGTAAAACCTTGCATTCTGCAAAAACGCAGTAGCATAAGCTTTCTGTTCTTCATGGGAAGGCAGCATGGACCAGTGGTTGCTCAGGCTTTTCCTTACGCTTAGGTTTTTCTCAGGCAGTGGTTTCAGTTGTGCCAGTTGAGTTATGTATTCTTTAATACGGAACACAGATTAAATCCATTTTATTTCTCAGATGGATCGCTCAAGTCAGTGCACCAGGAAAATACAAATAGCACAAATAAAATGTCTGTGCCGCTTTCCGGTAATGAAGTATTTAGTTTGCTAGTGAGCACCTGGTAATCACTGCCAAGTGTATATATATATATATATATATATATATATATATATAAAAGTCTACAATCATTTAAGACACAACTCCATAGCTTATCATATTGTCAAACATGTTTTATTAATAGGACTAAAAAAAAAATAGGTTGATGGAACCATAAGAGTGCAGTTTACTGCTAAATAACTGCACCTTCCTATTGCAGATGTTGTACAGCTGTTATTTTAGTCCAGGACACAGCACAGTAGGCAGTAACTACCTGCTATTTGCTCTGTGATTCTTTTATAAGGAGAATTTTGTATTTTCATAGGAAACGGCAAGACCTGTGGCTGTCTTGTCATCCTCAGATTATGGGAGACGCATAAAAAAGCCTGTGGAGCAGCTGATTCGAGATCACGCCAGGATTAATCACGTGAAGGCAGAATTCTACAGGAAAAATGGAATCACCTGCTTACTGGAAAAACCCTCTCCAAGCCTGGACCCATGCTAAATCTCTTGTAACTGTCGTCACCCACAGCGCTTATGTGGTGTAAAAAAACCCCAACAATCTCGTGTCAAAAGAGAAAATAGTGCTTCTGCCTTTTCCTTTTCTGTTTTAGTTGGTAAGAGTGGTTGGGAATAGAAAAGGATGAAATAGCAGATGTACATTTCCTCATGGTAATTCAAATGATTCTGTCTCTTCCTACATTCTCATTAACATCTTGTGAAGAGCAGCGCAGGAACTGAACATTTTAGAAAGCAAAGCTGGAAAGAAGAGACCTGTTCAGTCAACGGCCTTTCCTGTGCTATTACAGGCAGTGATTCTGCACAACTTGTGTTTGCAGAATTTACATTTAAGTATACGTTTCCTCCTCAAGGATTGGACACTGATTATTTAATCTCCAAAGAAGCAAAAGGAATTGCTATCATACATCGTATATGAAACACATGAAACAGAAATTCAACACAGATTTTCCAGAACAGATAGCCTTAGCTATAGAGGGGCAAGTAAAAGATGGTCTGATTTTCAGAAGTGCTAAAGATTTAGCAATTTCGAAAGACTCTTAAGTGGAAGTCAATCCAAAGGGAACTTCTGAGTGCTTGGCATTTAAATAGACACTAAAATCCAGGTTTACCTAATTTCAGGCATCAATTTTGCTGACTTAATTAAACAATGGTGTCTGAGGGATCTGTTCAGCACAACACAAGAAAAAAATCATCTTTGGATGTTCATCTAATATTTAAAAACAAAACAACCCTAAGGGCACAAACACTAAATAGTTTCATATCAAGGAACAAAAAAACACATGGATTGAGCGGTACTTACTTAAAAAACATCTCTAGAGTAAATGTCTACATCTCCTTACATATTTACTGCTTTGTGTCCTTACCAATTCTGTATTTTCATCAGTTTTAATGTGAGGAGATGGAACATACAAGTATATTCATCAGCTTAGTTCCCAAGAGACACTGACCCTGCTGTTTAACAACAGCAGAAGCAGTATTGTTCAATGAGGAATGAAAACCAGACTGGGAGTAGAGAAGGACTAGAAGTCCACAGCTTTGACTGACACTGGAGTTCTGTTAGGCACTGCTGAACAGCAAACCCAGCTCATTTGCAAGAATAGTGAGTCTGCTACTGAAACCCAGGAAATAAAAACAAAGAACAACTTAATCTGGGATGTGCAGAAGCAAAATATTGATCAATGAGTCTGTCTGTGGCCAGGTGTAAGAACTGGAGTACAAACAGCAGCCCAGCCTGTTGAGGTCTTTGCCCTCTTCCTTATTTATAACCTGCAAGTTTTCCCTTTTCACTGACTGATGACAAGGGAAAAGGATGGTAGCTCCTCTGTTCCTTTTCAGCAATTAATGTTCCATCAAACAAATCCAATAGCATTAATTGAATCAGATTCACAGCAAGAACTGAGATGTATGTGTTTTCTAGCAACATCAGAGTGCTTTTAACAAGAATTGGTATCAAATGCATGCCAGTGAATATATGGCCCTGTTCTACCCAGGTTATTTTTAGTTTGGGACAATCAGTGTAAATTACTTCTCGAAAATGTCCCCCTTACTGTATTTACACACTGTGTGTTTTTGGAAACGGCACAAAAGCAAATTATTTGAAAATACCACCATCTTCTGGCTAGCATGAGAAAGGGACGTCACCAGTTTGCTTCCACCATGGCAAAAGGGGAGTGTGACTCATCAAGCTATTATTAAACAGTCATCTTCAGTTGCTTGGTTATGAAGATGTGCAGGTCAAGTCCAAAGGGGATCGTGTGAGTGTTGACTCCCTACTTCAGTGCTCAGTTGTTAGTGCCAAATGAGCATCTTAGTGACTTCTTTTGTATTAGAGGGAACTGTGAATGTCTACAGACACCTTTCACTTGTTTTCCCTCAATTTCTTTTGCTAGGATGACAACTGGTATGTAATGGATGTGCCGTAAAGCTTCCTATTATACTAGTAGAAACTATTTTAGGACTTCCTTTTGCTCCCTCATCTGTCCATGCAAGCACACTACCGTGAGCAAGGGTTTCACAAATGCAATGAATTAACCTAGGTGGGTAGGACACAATATGAATCATATTCTAGATCTGGATGTTACATCCAAAAATCTCCAGGCGCTGCTGGGACAATTGTCAGACACCTGCAACTCACAAATTATTAACAGTAGCCTTGAAAGGAAGAAGTCACTTTCTACTTTGACTAATGAAATATATGGAACTTTTAAGGATACAAAAGTTTTATGTATTTGTTGCAGTGTCTGCTTTGCTACATATACATCTATGTGGAAAACATGGTATTTTGATCTTCCTGTGACAGTTCATCAAGTATATGCTATACGATGAGAATTAAGATTTGTTACTTCCCCTGTAACCATCTGTGAACTAACATGTTAAGTCAGGGTACATTTTTTATCCCAGCTGAAGTGGTTACTGCTTCTAGTTCTTCATTCCACCCTTCTGGCAGAATTTATATACTCATGAATAAGAAATGATGGTAAAGAACATTCTTCTGCTTCGGAGCTTTAAAGCATTAGTGTGCTAAACCATCAATTTCAGCTTAGCAGGCTGTTCAAACTAAGGCAAATCTGGACTGCCTACATCACCCCACATAGCTGAAACTGCCCAAATCCCACCTGACTGCTACAAATAGCCATCCAGAACCTACATCTCTCTCCCACAGACAGCTGTGAAAGTCCACTACACTGGGTAGCTGTCATTTCAGAAAGCAAAATGAATCCTTTTCAAAGCTCTGTCTTATTTTGTGAAAAGCACCACTACTTAGTGACAGCCCTCTGGCCCTCTGAAGGATGAGCAATGAGCCAAATTGCTTGCTAGTGGAACTACTGCACACTTAGTTGGGAAGTCAGACAGTTATGAGTGAATTACATAATATTCTTTTATGCTGTCTAGAAAAGCCTTGACTGGGAACATGGCATATTCTGAGCATTTGACAATGGACAGCACCCTTAAATATAGTTCCATCTGTCCACCTGCAGATTTGAGTTAGAACCTGTGCAAATGCAGCACTGACTGCTTAACTTTTATATCTGTTAATATTAAATAGGTATGAAGGCATGAGCAGCAAATAATAAAAAACTGTAAATATTAAACCAAACCAAAACACTTTTAAGAAAATATCTTGTTCTTTATTACTGCTTACATATCAATTGTTCCAAATATTGGAAGATCTCATTTTTAGAAGCTGTTACATAGAAAACAGATTTCTTTCTCCATACACAATATTTACACTCGATAGTAAAAAAGATCAACTTGCAGCACCGTATTGTTTGCCAGTGTCAGCATCTGAGTCCATATGCATGAGGGAAGATTTTTTTGCACAGATATTTTGCCATTTTTCTGCAATTGTTTAGAGTCTCTATCTCAAAAAACGGAATCTGGAAATGAATAGAAAAAATGATTACTGGAAACAGATTTCAATAAACAACTGAGTAATATTCAGTATCTTTCAGACATAAAATAGTATCTTATTTTAGATATAAATGTATCTATATCTATACAGATATAGACAGTATCTTATTCAGACATAAAATCACATGTCAACGATTTTTCATCTGTAAGATCAAACTTTTTATCTTAAATGTATTATTGACATGTTAATCTTGTCAGAACCACTTGACTGGAGGTTACCGCAAAAAAAAAGCAACGTTCATAACAGTTAAAGCTAAATAAATTAAATATGTAGTCAGATTTATGTAGGAAGTGATTAAAACCAGAAAACTAATCTTAAAATTATACCAGTAACTCTTATTCCAAGATGTGTTTAAAGATAAAAGAAACCAAATTTTATTTATTCAACATGCAAAATAAAGGTATGTCTGTTTTACTTACAATACATTCCAGTTTTTAGATTTTTTTTTCTCCAAGTTTCCAGTCAGATTTCTTTTAAAAGTATCTGATTAAAAACCTAGTGCCGCATAATTCTTAGACAGCACTTTCACTTACGGCAATATATGAACCTCAGTTTCAAGCAGCAGCTGTTTGTGCACAAAGAAAACCCTCGCTAGGCAGATTGAACAGAACGTAGAAAGGGCAAGACCACAACAGCTTTAAACACTGCAACACTGTAAAGGAGTCATTTTTCACGTGCTTTGTTAGCCTAAAGCAAATTGCTGTCTTTGGACTTTACCTGCACAACTTCATAACCGAGTAACTTCAGATGCCTCTGTTTAATAGCTTCTTCCCCCAACAGATGGTGGCTGTTAATGCAAAATCTATTTTGACCATCAATACAGAGAGCAAGTCTAAAATAAAGCACAGATACTATATTTCATAAAATTGTCCATATAACTTCAGTCACCAAAACTACTAACACTAAATTAAAACGACAATCACAGAATATTCAAGGTTGGAAGGGACCTCTAGAGATCGTCTAGTCCAACCCCCTGCTCCAGCAGGGACACCCAGAGCACGGGGCACAGGGCGGCATCCAGGCGCGTTTGGAAGATCTCCAGAGCAGGAGACTCCACAGCCTCCCTGGGCAGCCTGTGCCAGGGCTCTGGCACCCTCACAGGAAAGAAGTTCTTCCTCACCTAGAGATGGAACTGCCTGTGTTGCAGCTTATGCCCATTTCCCCTTGTCCTATCGCTGGCCACCAATGAGAAGAGCTTGGCCCCTTCTTCCCTGCATTCTCCCTCCATGAACTTATACATGTTAATCATATCCCCTCTCAGCCTTCTCTACTCCAGAGAAAACAGGCCCAGCTCACTCAGTCGCTCCTTATAACGAGAGATGTTCCATTCCCTTAATCATCTTAGTTGCTCTCCACTGGACCCTCTCTAGGAGCTCCACATCCCTCTCATACTGGGGAGCCCAGAACTGCACACAGAACATGGCACTTCCAGGTGCGATGGTTCCTTTTACTACCAAAAATCCTTCTAGAACTAGATGCTGTGTCATGGGAGCTACCTATTTTAGAGTAAATGAATGCAGAAAAACAATACACAAAGGAAAGCAGAAACATAGTAAAAATGATCTAAAAAACTTACTTACATGCTTTAAACAAAAAATACCCTGTAAAATAATGACAAGAATTGAGGTCTTTCTAATGCTTTTATTTTGAATTCTTCTACTAGGAAATAACAAATAAAATACTTTCTCAACTCAGAAACATTTAAGCAGCTAACTTTTTTCAACTTACTGTCACTTCAATTTAAATGTGTGCATATGGTTGGTAGCACCAAAGATTATAGGCGTATTTTTATACACCTTATCATGACCTTATTTATATGCAAAAGTCAATACCAGAAAACAAAGACCATTCTTAAATATTTAAGGATAGGATTTTTGAGGGGACCTATGTGACTTTGTGAGGCAATGTCAAGGCCAAGTTGAAGAAACATTGTCTTTTCAATTCTTTTTTTGCCTACTCATGGAAGTGCAGTTGCAAATACAGCTCAGGCAAGTTTCTTAATTTTGTCTCTAATGCTCTCAAACTAATCCTTGATTTACTTGCATTTTTCAATGCAAACAGCATCTGTAATAAAAGTCACATTATACAGGAGCTCTTAGAAAAGTAAAAATGCAAACTGAAGTTTGCTTAAATTCATTAAATTGGTGTGGACACTCTCAATCCAAATTACTATTATTCTTCTTTTTTTAAAAAAGTGTAAATTAATTAACAGATCAGAAAGATCCTATATGCCAAACTAAGAACACTTTGACCTTGAGTGTCAGTGGGGAGAGAGACTAATTGTTTGACACTATATAATCAGAAGGCAAAATAATCCGGAAAAAAGAGTATAAATCATTCATTTTACCAACTTTGTCCCTTTATCTGTAGTTTCAGTGTAAAATCTTAAGTTTGTGGAGACCAATGGCAAAATTCAAATTATTTTAAATTTTGCCATGTGTTCACCCCAGGCCTTCTAACAATTTGTTTGTGCTAACACTTTACTTGTGGTTTCTGTTATTCTCTTACCGTCTGTGTACCTCTTCACACTGGGCAGCGGGCAATACAAAGCCTTCTTCATCTAATTTAATCTCAATATCTAGTATAGATGAAAAGACAAGTGAAATTAAGATTCAGCTCATACAACAATAATTTTCATTCTCCTCCAATTTATTGTTTGATACAGTAATTAAAATACTACAGCAACGTTTTCTTCTCAATGATTCTCTTTCCTGCCTTTTTTTCCCCTGCCAGTTGGCTGATTTTATAGGTGATATGATTTTGCAAAGGAACACTGGGACCTAACCCCTGCCAACTTCGACTCCATGTGAGGGCTGAAATGGGCACCTGCCTCTTCCTCCAGCCTGCTTTGGCATACAACAACCTTCCTCGTTACAACCTTCTCTCAGCCTCCTTTCCCAGGGCTTGGAACATGCCCTTCTGCCCACCCTTCCACTCCAAACTCCCTCCGACTGTGAGTACTCAGGAGCTCTTGCTAAAGCAGGGAGAGTTCAGGAGAACACAGAAGAGTTGCCCAGCTTATCCCCAGCAGATGGATGAGGCAAGGGGCACTACCCTGTTTTGCTTTATGTTATGTAGATTGTTTACAGGATAAGTAAAATGGGGGCTGATATTAAAAATAAAGAGCACAACTATTCTCAATGCACACTGGATGTGTAAGTCCAAGCAATTTTTCAAAGTAACATTGCAGCATTTTCTCTCCTTATTTTTCTTTCTTACTCTGAAAATGCATTTACTTAAATTTCCTTGTATGTTTCCTAATTTCAAATCCTCAGTATAGTCTTTTTTTGGAACCTAGTTTATTTTTCCAAATTTACACAATTCAGAATGCAAACAAAAGTAATAAAATCAACCTTTTTTTAATTTATGGAGAACATGATCTAATATTATCGCAGTGCGCACACACATTTTGTTATTAATCTAAAGAAATTATGTTGCTTACCAACTGTATAGAAATACGGCGTTGAAACCTCTGATGCAAAATATATTCTTTTTTTCAGTAAATAAAGTAGTCCGGTCTTCACTCTGTTGAGGAGATGAACATCCAGAGAACTGCCAGGCTGAAACTTTACTTGATACTTTGGAAGGAGTTTGGGGCCCTATAGAATGACAAAGTCAACCAACAAATGACAACAAAAACAACAAAAAAAATCACTTCATTTATCAAGGAAAAGAAAGAAAAGAAATTGAATTCTTCTGTTGTTATTTTCAGCAATAATTAGAAACATTTTGTAAATAGTCAACCAAGAGAGAAATTTGGGGTTTGGTTGGAAAACATTTTTGTATTTATTTCAAGTATTAATAAAACGAGAGTTTCCCAAATATGCCCATTTCAAAGCCATATTGAATAAGAAACTTATAGTCAGAGGTAGGATCTCCTAGAATTTAAATGAAAAAAGCCCTAGCACATCCTCAGCAGGCCTCTAGGCCACCATGCATGCCATGCTACTCCTGAGAAATACAGAACAGTTTCCATTCTCCTGCAGTCAGGCCAGCATGGTCAGGCCAGGTCCCTTCTGTGCTCCAAGGCTTTACAAGGCAAGCACAAACCAGGGGGCTCAGAAACACACAAAAGGAATGTTAATGTAGGGGAAGTCAATTCCATCAAAAATACAAATACATCAGTTCAGTCAAACATGCTGAAACACTTGTTGCATCAGGAAAAAAAAAAAAAAAAAAAAAGATGATTTATCCAATTCCAGTATTTTTCTGGAAAAGATAGTCTTCTATCAACAGGGTCCTAATGACCATATCACTTCTTGTTAAGATCAAGCCTGATTTCGCACCTACCGTACCTCATAAAAGGGGCACTCCAAGGTAGCAGTTAAAAAAAGCTGGGTTAGCTGGGAGGTAACAAATCTGTCCAAACCAGGTGGCTGGGCTGAAAAAACAACAATTCAGGTGTTCAGGTACAACTTCCACCAAGTATTATAACACAAACAATCAGGCAGAAGTCAGCTGTGAAAGCATGCAGTTTAAAATGTGGAGGACTCCTTTTACCCTACACCGTTGGCAGCTTACTTGAGTAAATGGAAAGACAGTTGTGAAATTAAATATTCTGAAAAATGAGGAAATGATTTACAGAAGTATCACAAACATTAAAAAGAAAAAGCACATAGAACTAGAACGATCTTAGTTAAGACTGTAATTTCTTCCAAAAAATTCAAGGACGTTCTGCAGAAATAAGCCTGAGCCAAGATGTTCTGCAGAAATAAGCCTGAGCTTATTTATCTTGGATAAATAATCCATTTCCTTCTTTATATATGAGTATCAGAATACAACTCACATTTTTATCTAAATACTTATAAAAAATACTAGCTCATTGGTAAGTGCTGATCTTTCTAATGGTGCCATATATTACTGGCTCAGCTCTCCTCCTTTCCACCTCAGTTAAGCCGACAGTTACACACTGCAATTGAATTTGTATCAGATTTATCCATTCTACACGTATCAGTCTTCACAAACTGATCCTAGCACAATGTGAGAGAAACACAACCAGGCTGGAAGCAAGAATATAATACAAGAATCCTTATCTTGAAAAGGATAAGAATCCTTATTGTGACTGAAGAAGGTGACAGCACATGTCAAGATCTAGTTTTATTTTAGCCCACCTGACAAGTCTGAAGTAATGCTGCCTGACAGGAGGCTGGGAATAAAGTTGTAAAAGCACCTACAGGCAGTGGAGCTCATTTTAGTCATTCGTCAAAATAAGACTTGAAAAGACATTTTGTACTGCCTAAGGTTTACAAATGCTATGTGCACGTTTTTAAGACTTACTTACCCAAAAAACTAATTCAAATTATTTTTCTCAATGCTACATTTCATCTAATTTCTCTCCAGAAATTGTATGAACCTAGACTAAATTTTATAAGGATCTTTTTTTTTTTTTTTTTTCTGGCTGGCCTGTAACAGGGTTGTAAGCAAGACATGGAACAGCTCTTATACCTTTCCTTACTCATGTTATAATTTAGTCCCTATTTTAAAGGCTACAAACGGAGGCTTCTTGACAACTCTGACACTGTGCCTTGCCCTCAGTTCTGGCCTTGGGACCAGAATGTTTCTGGTGCTCAGTTCTGATGCTTGGTTTGCTCAGTTCCATAGGGCTTCATGAGAGATGTCTTGCATAGATACTGAGGTTTAAACAGCTGGAGTTAAAAGATGTTTGCTGCACAAAATAATTCAGCCTAAAAACTGTGCAAGACATAGGACAACTCTCAAGGGTAACAGAGGGGTAGTATTTTCAGAAAAGCAGAAGGATTACATGAAAGGAAGATTTTAAGGTATTTCAAATCTCTGCTTAAGATTGCACAGCAAGCATAACTTTCAAATTCCTCTAACTGACATAACCTGAAGGCTAACTGCAGCTGTGATAAGAGTGCTCCAAATTTCAGCTTCCCTATCCCAATTCTCCAGTCACCTTAACCAGGTCACTGCCAATTTGATGGGATTAGGCAGATGCAAGTGAAAAGAAACGGGACAAGTGACATACCATGTAATAGCAAGGGGGAACACAGCAACAGACAGAAATAATGCCCCTTACCTTGAAGCTGTTGCAGAAAATAGGGATTAAATATTTTTGCCAGAAAATTGACCGGGTAACGCTGAACGAGGACACACGAGTGCAGCAGGTTCAGCAAGGTGTGAGGTCGAAACTGGCCAAAGCGAGTACGCAGCACACCCTCCAGCTTCCCAAACAACAGGGGTGCACTCGGGGGAAGATAGTTCAGAGTCCCGAAGGGCATAAGGCACTCGGCAATCTGCTCGGTGGTAAATCCATCGGCGCCAGAGCTGAGCACTTCTGCCACTGCATCCAGGATGGGCTTTGAAAGGATCCGCTTCTGGCAGCAGTACTTCATGACCGTGCTGATGGCCTCTGGGCGCATGGCACGAAGGGACTTGGGGATGTGCATTTCCAGGGCTTCTGTAAAGACCTGCTGACGATGTCCGAAGTAGAGGAAGGCTTCTAGCACGCTCACCAGTTCATGGTCTGTGAAATAGGGAACGTGCTTCACCGAGTGCTTGCACAGGGCAATGACCAAGGAGACTGCCTGAGTCTGACGAAGAACCACCAGCGAATTCAGCACCGTGCTCAAGAACCTCGGGCTTAGCTGGGAAGCTACGCTTAAAGTGACGTGGTTCACTCTGTTTAGCAAGTCTTGGTACTGCTTCCCTTCTCCAGCACTCCTCTGCAGCATCCTATAAACTGCCACCAATTCACTAGGACCACACTTCGCAATGTCTTTTTCTTGCAGGTGGCTTAAGATTTGTTCCAGGATTACAGAAGCTGGGCCTTCCAGCTCAAGCAAAGCCTCTCCAAAATCACACAGGTTTTGGGTGGTCAGCTGCCCTTTCCCGAGCCGCTCCTGACCCTCTGAAAGCAGCTTTGCTATCAGGGAGCCCCGTGGATCTACACGCAGTTTAATCAGGGCTTGCAGGGCACTCAGCAGCCCAGTGTTGGACAGTTTCGAGGACTCATATTCAAACTGAAAGCATAACGCCCTGAAAACGTCCGAGTCTTTCAGTCCACGGTCATCCACCTCCACTTCGGAAATCCTCTGCAGGGCTGCTGAAGCCATGGTGTCAGACATCATTTCCACAGAGCTAAGAAACTCAAAAACCTCTCTGGATGTATCAAGGCCCTTCAGCTTCCCGAAAAACACCTGCTCATCCATCCACCTGTCATCAGGCACACGGCCGTTCCCGGCATCTCCGCACAGAGGCACCGTTTCACCAGCAGGGACAGACTGGATCCGCACGGGCACGTGGCTATTTCGGCAAAGCACGTACTGACACTTCACCCTGGCACGCGGCATCCTCGTGGATCCCCCTGGAGATCCCCCTCGGGGCGCCTTTCGCTGCCCGCCCATAAAGCTTTTGCTCAGAGTCATCCCCGCGCACCTGCTCGCGCAAAACCGCCAACCTCTCAGGCTGATCAGAGCCATGGCGCCCCAGGAGCATCCTCAGAGGCTGCCTGTGGGAGGGAGAAACGCGCGTGACACACGTTGAACGCCAAACGCCACCGGCGCTACCAAAACCGCGGCCGACAGCGCCCGGCGCCCGGCCGCGCGCCCACTCACCTCGGCGGCCATGACCGGCGGCGCGCGGCGCCTGCCGGGAGCTTCCGGCGGCGCGGGGGCGCCGGGCGGTGCGCAACTTCCGGCCCGGCCCAACGGCAGCGAACGGGAACGGTTGGGAACGGTGCGCGCGCGCGGCCTGTTGGGCTCCTTCGTTCTCGGCCGCCTTCGTGGGTGTGCGTATGGCGCAGGCAGCTTGGAGAAGCGGGGCTGAGGAGGAAGGCTTTAATCCCGGCGTGGGGGTGGGCTGCAGGCCGGGGAGCGGGTGGGAAGAGGCGCCCGCGCCGCCGTGGGAGCCGCGGCCCCGCAACGGAAGGCTCCGGTAGGGCGGCTTTGTGTTCTTAGGGGGGGAAACAATCATGTCTTACAGTAGCACTTGTGTAAGGAGCTCTCTCTCCTTACGCAATATGGAAATACGGAACGAAAAATTATGTCTGGGCACTAAAGCACTTAGGCATTGCGGCAAAAATCTTACTTCAGAGAAGAAGTAGCTTTTATCGTTGGTTTGAACTTTCGTTTTCAGTGGTTTGACTTCACCACATGAAGTGTGGTGTTCTCAAATGTTGCTGTTTTCAAATGCAGCTCACAAAAAAAAAAAACCCCAAAAAATCCAAGCAGTTGCAAACCAAAAGTTTAAAAATAAAATATATTCTCTAAAAAGGAAACAAAAAAGTGTTTCTTTGTTTGCAGTGTGTTTCTCTGTTGCATTGTTTACAAATTGGCACTGGGCGTATTGCAATCGCCGTGCCCCGCTGAGGCGATAGAGCACGTGGAGCTGGTGCCTGCCGGGCCCTCATAACCAGGGCCTGCAAGCAGCTTGGCTCGGGGCAGTGGCTTCTCTTTCAAGAACATGTCTAGTTTTAAGTTAAATATGTGGATTGCTGACCTTTACGGGAGCTCTCTTTAATAAACAAAGCAATCTCTTGCTGTTCTACATGCAGTGTATTTACTTTTTTTTTTCTCCTTTTTTTCTATAGTGTCTATAAAAAAAGTGCTGTTATTCTTTTTTTATATATAAAATGTGTTGTGACTTAAAAAGGAGGTTTTTACTCCTATATGCCACACAAAAGGGGCAGGCGAAAGCCATAGCGGAGGAGATAGAGCAGCAAGCAGGAGCCCACGGACTCGAAGCTGATATGCACTGTATGAGCGAGATGGACAAGGTGAGCTACTCCATGCTGCTGTCAGAAAATAGATATTTGGGTGGCACTTTCCTTTGTGCTTGCATGGTGGCTGCTATACACGTGAACCTACCTAAAATGCCCCATCTCATGTTAAATGTCCAGTTTCACTGTGCTGGACTGAGGTCCTGTGTGCTGCTAAGTGTGTGCTCCAGTATGACCTGGAGCTTTTGCAGGGGACTTGTTGAGGTTGCCTAGCATATGGGCTTAGCCCAGGTCACACTAGCTGCTTTTGAGATGCACTCTAGAAAGGAGCAGAATGCTTGACTAGAGAAAGTAATCAGCTTTTTGTTGTTACTTAAGAGTAAGGGTCTGAAAACTGTTAGGGCCTGCTTGTAATTAAAAAACTTCTGGGCTTATGTACAAAGAACTAAGTACTAAGAGTATTAAGTACTAAGAATTGCTGTCCATTTTCAGCAATAGAGAAAAAGTGAATGGTATTTTGCATGAGATATGGAGAAAATACCACCTGTTCTTGTTTTTCATGCACTTATAAATGTGAGAAGTTAATAAAAATAACTTAGTACCTTTTTAGCAAGTTGCTTTCTTTGAAAAACACTACTTGCTTGGTAGCTCGCCACGAATCTTCAATGAACACTCACTCAATATGCAGCAAATTGTTGCCAACTTTTATGCAGCCGAGGAATGTGAAAAATCTTCTTAAGTTCTTCTGTTTCATTCCTTCAGCTTTGAGACCTTTGGAGCTTAGTTTCTGAAAGGCTGCAGGCAGCATATTTCTAGCCTTGTTATTAATCTGCCACTTGAATAAATGTATTTTGCTTTATTCCACAAACTACATAGTTCAGGGAGGTGAGCTTATGCACCAAGTGAAGAAGTAATAGAAATTTGATTTGACTGTCAGTTAGGAGAAGGTCCATTTTTATGCTGCTCTTGAGTATTTCTTTCAGACTTTATCATAATTTCAGAGTCACCAGAGCAATCCTTTTAGGTGAAACAGGTGTTTGCCAAGTCAATAGTAATAATAGGATTTTATTGCCATGCAACATTGAACAGTCAGGTCTCGGGAGCACCAGCTTTTGTATTTGCTTGTAGATAAGAAGAGGTTAGTCCCGGTGTTTAAAATAATTCGTTTGCTGTGATTGCTTTTCTTTTTGAGGAAAGATGGAAGTGAAGTGAAAGTGAGGTAGAAGCAATAAAATGGGAGGCTAAATGGACATGTTCTTGGGGCGCAGAGCTGCATATATAGTCATGGATGAGTGATCCGAATAAGCACGCGTGCCATGATATATATTTTTCTCAGCAAGACCTCCTCTGGCTCTTTGGTCACATCTTTTTCCATCAGCAATCGCTCACTGTCTGAGTGGGCTGCTCTGTGCTGCTGTGTAGCATTGCTGCCCTCAACTGATGAGTTAATGAGGAAAGAGAAAGAGTGGGATGAAAATGGGAACACCAAGGGATACAGGAAGGAGTGGAAAACAGAATAAGAAATTATCTGCAAGGTTTTTGTTGGTCCAGATGTGCATCAGACTTCCTGGTAATTGGCATAAACCAGTGCAGGGCCTCTGCGCTTTTGGAGGCCACATGGCCTTGACTGCTCTTCCCAGGGAATCTCTCCCAAATGTTTGACTTCCAAACTCTTGTCCTTAAATTTGCAGAGCAGAAAAGCATCAAATGAGAATTTAATGAACTAATTGCACCTCAGTGCTAGTATACCAGCTCTTACTTTTTGCACTTTTGTAATAAACACACACAATTTACCATAACTTCTTGTATGATAGAATAAACTTTTGCATTTTGTATTTGAAGTATTTGCTTTAATTTGTGAATATTACAGTAGCTTGTGACAATGCACTGATGAAACTCCTGTATTTTTACCTATAAAATCAGGTTTGGAGGCTTAGAAATCCCCGTTACTGCAGAACGAGCTATCAAAATACTGTGCTTGAGATTTTTTTTAAGTTGTCCTCATGCAACTGATTTTTAGATTCTTCATAAGAGTTATGGTAAAAAAAAAATGACAACAATGAAACTGCTTGTTAGCCAATGTTTGCAAAGTTAGATGTAAAGTAAGAAATATTGACAGTAAATAAAAGAACAGTAATCTTTTTTTTTTTTTTTTTTTTTTGGGAAAACCTTAGATGTTCTTGATTTAACAGTATGTGCCCAAAACCTAGTTGTTTCCACCTTATGAGATCATATGACCTGTTCTTTGATAGCCAAACTACCATTCTTCTTTGTGTACAGCTAGTTATTTATGAATGTTGAATTAATGAACGAAGTAATCAGCAAGATAATGAGTTGCATCCCCAAAGTAATTTGTAACTACTTGAAAGACTTGTGCTTTTGTACAGATAAGATGAAATTAAACTTTTTTGCATACCTTTGGGGGAAAAAGAAAAGTGGAAAATAATATCTAAGATCACAAATATTTGTAAAATGGCACTTCTTAACTTACTTTGTTCACTTATTTGTAGTATAATCTGGAAGCAGAAAAGGATCCTGTAGTTATTGTTATTTCCACTACTGGTACTGGAGACCCACCAGACACTGCCCGCAAGCTCGTTAAGAAAATTCAAGACAAGACCTTGCCACCTGATCATTTTGCACATCTACAGTATGGATTGTTAGGTGATTCAGTATTTTCTGTAGCATTCCTGCACGAGTTTCTCAGTAAATAACTTGCAATGGCACTTCTTAAATTGTATGTATTTAAAATACATTTATTTTTGTGTTATGAACTGGTCTCTTCTATGAGCAATGAAGAAAGTCACAGAAATGAAAGCTGGCTGCTAACTATTTTTTTTTATACTTCAGTTTTATGCATAGAATAAGATGTAAGATATCTGTGAATACTGAAGTTCTATAATTTCATGCAAAATCTCTGTGAATTAGGGATGTTTACGTGGCCTTGCAAGTGATGAGGCATTGATTTTGTACAAAAGGAAAGGCTGTATAAAATACTCTAAAAGTAAGATTTTGATATCATCTTATCTCTACAAATTTTTAATAGCCCTTTACTGTTTGCTAAAAGGAATGTAACATCAGATTACAAATTGATATGGAAGGTACAGAATTGGCAAAATGCATTTCACCTGCTTAAGCTGATGGTAAGGACAGCTGGGAGCTGCATGGTTACCAGTCCTCTGTCCTCTGTGCTTTTCAGTGGCAACAAGGACTAGAAATAGAGATTATCTGTGTTACTTGTTCCTTAATTAAAATGGTTAACCCTTTCTTGGTAGGGGAGGAACACTTAAGATTGCAGAAAGGTGCATACATTTATGGAATTGCTTTGGGGGTAATTCCATTTCAAGGATGCTGTTGGCTCTTTAGGTTATGTTCAAACCAACTTCACAAATTTCTGTTTGAAATTGTATTATTTTAGCTTGACAAGTCTAAGTTGAAGGGTTGAAGTGATGGAACTTCTAGTTTCCTAGTAAAGGAAGTACCTCCTTGAAGGAAGCTTCTGGTGTCTATCCTCTAATAATGTTGCATCTCGAGATACTTGACTACTGTCTATTTATTTATCACAGTTTAGGAAACAGTTGGATTTTCCTGTCTAAATGAAAGCATGCTTACATGAAAGTAAGCAGTTCATTAGTATTTATTTTTGATGTATAAGATGCTATATGGACATGCTTTGTGACTCCAGTTTAAAAAAATTAAGAAGTGGTCTTAAAATACATTCTTAATTTACTTTTCAGTATATCCAATGGAGTATTACCTCTAATGATCCTATCTAAAAGAGACAGAGTCTCTAAAAAACACCGAAAAAAGCTATTGTAAAGAGGAAAGAAAGAGTCTGTCGTCACTGCCTATTGAGAGGTGGGATAAGGATGGAGGGGCTTTAAATTACAATAAGAAGCAGGCTGTGAAAAATTCTGCTAGTTAGGACAGTGAGAGGCTGATGTAAATTGTAAAGAGAATTTGTGATGTCTGCATGATGGACATCTTCAGAACTATATTAGCTGAGGATCCCTCAGGGTGAGGCACGAGTTGCTAATCTTAGGTGGGTTAGGTGGAAGGACTAGACTTCAGGACTATAGCCTCCTAAAGTCCCAGAGCCTCCACAAATGTGACTCCGGGTTCCACTGAATTTTTAACTGGTAACAAATGCAACTTCCAAAGGAAACTCTTTCTGGCTATTAAAAGTCAGAATCTTGCAATGCAGTGAAAATTAGATCTACAAGAAGAGTTTTCCTTAGGAGCTCTGATTTTAGCACAGGGTTTGGGAACCAGATTCCCTTATACCTGCTGCCCTGTATTTCTTTTTTCATGTGGTTTCAAGTTGCTTCCTATGTCTTTGACTTCTTTAGATGCTGGCATTTTGGATTTTTTTCTTTTAATATCCCATCCTTTGTGTTACTGATCACGCAAGTGTTTTCATAGTGTGCACTTCGCTATTTGAGATTCTCTCACTTTCCTATCGTTTGTTGCAGGTTGTTGTCTGTGTCACCTCTGTGGCTGAGTGACTGACGTGGTTCCTCTCTCTGACCTTGCTAGGCCTGGGCGATTCCGAGTACACCTTCTTCTGCAACGGTGGCAAGACGGTCGACAGGCGACTTCAGGAGCTTGGTGCCCAGCGCTTCTACGGTACCGGATTAGCAGATGATTGTGTAGGGTAAGAGCTGCAGGAGTTTGGATCTGTTTCTTCAGGGTGCAGATGATATGTGCAAAGTTGGCTAAACGTTGCAAATGCTCTGAAATCAGTTGGACCTCACAGGAATGAGTTCTGTTTCAGCGTATAATTTTTTCAGTCATAATTGTGCCTGGATGAAACTACGTTCTTTAAATCTAACGAGATATCTGTAATGACTGTAAAAATTCAGAGTATTTGGGTATTTAGCAATTTTAGAAATTACTTAATTTAGACTCTATTTTGAATGAATGAATTTTTTTTAATGGAGTAATTTAGAATACTATTTGTAGAATAAGTATGGATTTTTGAAGTACTCTCTCTCTACTGAAGCAAATACAAACAGTATTTGTGACCAGACACTGAATAATGGGATCTATTAAAGAATCTGCTAATCAAAATCTCTTTTTATTGTTTGTTTGGTTTTTTTGGCAATTTCTGAAGTGGTTTGCAACTCCCTTCAGCCTTTTCTCCTTTCCTCCCTGTAAAACATCTGCCTCTTTCTTGTAGAGATAAGAATTGTGTAAGAAAAAAAACCTTCCTTTTTCTGTTGCTCTTTGTAGCCTCTAGGCTGCAGTCTTTGCTTATTTATTTTGAAGAACGCTTTATATTGGTTCCATGCATGATGATATGACACATAACTGAACAAACACGGCCATAATCATAAAACTTAAAATCTTATGCTCTAAAGTAATAAAAATGGAACATTATTAGTAAGCTATTGATGTTGCTATTTCACAGCAAAAAAAAATGTCTATTTTGCTGCCATCCCTTTAACTTCCTGTCATAAACTTCAATATAAGAAAATAAAATTGGTAAGCTGACAAAGAGAGTTTGTTGTACACTGTAAACCTCATAAATTTAAATAGCATTAATAATTAAATTTAAACACAAATTATTAACAAGAAAAATTATCTTGGTAACCGCTGCTTGTATGTTTAAGGGAAAACAAAATAGGAAAATAAATTGTGTTTTGTAGCTTTTTCTGTTTTGTTGTTGTTGTTGTTTTTAATAAATTAACAGACTAATAGGTTCTCCTTTGCTTTCATGTTGCTTTTTGTTTGTTTTCTTCCCTCCACAGTTTGGAACTGGTGGTTGACCCTTGGATTGATGGACTTTGGCTTGCCCTCAAAGAAGCATTTCTACTCCAGAAAGAAAAAGAAGGCATGAGCACCATTGCCAGTGCTGCTACTAACTCACTTTCTACAGTCCCATGTGAACACAAACCAGACTTAACTTCAAAAATGCAGCAGTTGAAGCTGGAAGAGGAGGGAGTGAGGAGTTCTGATGTTCTGTCACAGAAACTGATTGACATTAATCTTGTGACTCCAGCTCAAGACACTGAACCTTCGCTTGTTCATTCGGTCCCTCCCATCTCCCAGTCTGCTCTTAATGTTCCTGCCTTGCCACCAGAATATATAGAGGTTCAGTTGCAGGACACCCATGGTGAGGTAAGGACTTCACTTTGAGTGATGTAACCTTTCACTTTCTGGAGAGGAACATGAGTATCTACTCCTATGTAGCACTCCAGGGAACAAGCGGAGACATTATCTAAAGGAGGGATGCCCCTGAACACAGGAGGGTTTTCAATTGCAAGTGAAAGGTGGTGCAGTTATAAGAGTGTACTTGTCAATTCAGTTGAGGACACTGAAATAAAAGTATGATTTAACTGAATAATAATTTGACAAGGGAATGGCAATGCAGTGCCAGGAATGGGAGAGCTAAAATCAGCAGTGATTTATGTTCTGATAGTGAAACTACCTTCTGTGGAAGGAAGCATGGTGCAACTCGGTCCAAATTTTGATACTTGTATAGTGCCCTAGGATGGCATAAAATTGCATGAAATATTGCTGCTTGCTTAATAATTGAGAATTTTCCTGTAAAAATGGTGAGCATTTTACTATTGCAAAAAGAAGATAAACTGTAGATCAAAAGCCAGTATGCTTTCACTTTGCAGCCTACTGTGAAAAGAGAAGAATTAGCATAAGCTATTGATCACCTCCAGTTGGCAAGTTTAATCCTCAGAGTGAACTAAAATGTGTGCATCAACTCTGTTTTCACTGCTTAAGGGCAGAGACTTTGCTAGTTTCTGCTGGGGAGCAGCAAGGGTTGCCCCTGCTTAAGTGGGGAGCTGAGTATTATTATGTGGCCAATAGGGCAGGGCTCTCGCCAGCCAAGGAAGTGTTCCACATACCTGAGTGAGGGAGGCTTGGCAAAAACAGAGGAGGTAGCCACGAGCTCATAGAATCTCCCCTGTTGTGATAGGGGTCATTTCTGAAACTTTAGAATTCAGTCCAGATTAAAGACAACAGTCTTTAGATGTCATATGTGCAGCTAAACTGTTGTCTTGGGCACTGGAAAGCACCAAGTGCAGCTTCTGCCTTAGGCATTTTTTTTTTTTTTTAACAGAGAGGCCTGTAGGACCTGCAAGTAGGTTCCATGTGTCATACCCATATTCCCTGTAAAAATAAATCTGCCTGTGCAATCCCTGTCCTTTACCAAAATCTTGCATTTCAGCATCTATAAACCATCTTTATTTGGCAGAAAATTAAGTTGATTCCTTCTGAAATGCATCGTATTGAGGTGAGCATTTGCAAAAGGAGATTCCCTTTTATCTGAAGAGAAATAGATACATGATACTATATAGTTATTAATATGAGTTGTGTCTTAGAATGCTTAGCCTAAGGATTGAATTAATGAGCTGATGCTTATCAGGAGAAGAGCAGTAATGCTCTACCTGCTAAGCCTTTGTGGGGAAAACAGGAAAACCTATTTAGCTTAAATCTTAATCTCTTTATACCTTGAGCTTGACCTGGAGGGAATATGAGTGTGGGTGGCTGCTGATACACAGTAACTTGATATGGTGCCCAAGACATCAATAGCAGTGTTAAAATATAAGAGAATATTGAAACTTCCAAATGTAGATCTTGGTGCTTATTTTGTCTTTCTCTTCTCTTTCCTCTTTAAAAGAATAACAATAAAAATAGGAAAACTTCCTATTAGCTGGTGCTAGCTATCATAGAATAACTCTTTTGCATTTTACACAACATTGTAATGGACAATGGCTTTCTCTCTCATTTCTGGGAGGATAAACCCAAAAATAAAAGTGAAAATCTGAGTTGTTGTCTGATATCAAATAACACTCACTGACAACACTGATGGTGAAATGAGGGCTATAGTCTGATCTTGAAGTAACAACCTTTGGCAGAAGCAACCCAAGATGATTTTCAGGGCCTATTAATAAGCATTCTCACTTGTCTAGAAGTTCAGTGGGGTAATATGATCTCATTCTGCAGAGGGGGGGCTTGCTACTTAGCTAATAATTTCGTTTTAATTTTTAGATTTCTTTCTTATAAACTGCCCATAATAGTATCCCCATCTAAATCCTAAAGTCCTAATCTCTTAATCTGCAATGATGTTTCCAAACAACTTCTCCTGTTTCTTCTGTCCTTTCTTTACACTTAGTTATCTTTTAAATAGGCAGGAGTTTTTTGAGTTTTAATATAAATGCCATTTTAAAACTGACTATTTTAAGACAGCTTTTGAACTGCATTTACCGATTTATTTAATTGAATGTACATTTATTACTACTTAGGTACAGTTTTCAAAAACGTAGAGCAAAAATGGGTGGGGATGTTGCATTTTTCCTCTTTTTTTTTTTTTTTCCTAACGTTTAATTGGGGTGGGGGGGAAGCCCATGATTGCACCAGAGTTAATTCATGTATAGAACAGTATGCTGTAATGAAGCTGATAGGTGTCTGTTAGTGCAAATTCTCATGTCTGCCTTTTCAGGATCCCAGCCTGGCCTCGCTGATTTCCGAGGGAGCAGTCTTTGAAGTGCCAGTTACAAAAGCAGTTCAGCTCACTAGAGAAGATGCAGTAAAAACTGTCTTGCTCATAGAACTTGATATTTCAGTAAGTCAGTGAGGGCTTTTTCTTTAATAAAGGCTAAAAATACATCTTTATATATGAAAACTGCAGGGGGGGAAACTTACAGACTTTATTTGCTTGATTGCTTAAAAAAATCCCTCTACAGTAGGTTGAAGTCAACTGAAGTTAATTTGTTTTGTAAATGCAAAGTCTGATTTATTCACTGGAGGTTATAGTTCCTTAGGAGCAAAGACTTTTTTTATAAAGCTTTGGTAGCAGAAAACTACCAAGTTAATTTCTTTGTTCCATGGATATTGTGTTTTATTGAAATGGATTTTTGAGGGATTTTGCAGTGGAGAAGTGCAGGCAGAAAGTATAGAAAATGGCTAAGGCTTCAATTCCTAAGTATAGAAGTCAGAAAATATTCAGAAACTTTACAATGAAAATTGTGACTAGCTTGCAGTAGTAATCTACACAAGTCATAATTTGACTAGTACTATAAAGTGATGACACTTTTTAGCTCCTTATCTTGTAGACTTTTGAGCTCTGTTTTTGCCTCTGGCGTTCGTATGCTCTTCATTTTTTAGTATACCACTCAAACTGTCAACCTTTGTTACCCTGGCTGTAAAAACTGGATGATGTTGTATTATATTTTGTGAAGATCATATTCTGTATGCTCATTTGAAGGTGAAAAGCACAAGGACTGCTCAATATTACTTTACAAGCAACGTTAATTTAAAAATATTTGTTTTCCAAATCTGTGGAATTGTGGTACTGGGATATTGTTATCTGTTTAAATCAGTCAGATCTGTATTATATTTCTTCTAACTACCTAAGTTAAGTTTGGAGCAAGTTAGCCCCTGAGTTGGTATCACCAGTATTTATTTGCTGTTGTCCAGAACAATGCAATGCCTGTTCTGCATGTGAGAACATAAGACTTCATGTGGTTATCATAGTAGAAAGATTTTTGTCATTGTTAGGACTGGGAATGTTATAAGCTTTGGTTTATTGCAGTTTTATGGAAATCATCTCTCATATTAAAACAGGGTGCAACCTTTGACTACCAGCCTGGAGATTCCTTTTGTGTAATATGTCCCAACAATGCCAATGAAGTAGAAGAACTTCTTCACATCTTGGGACTTTCTGAAAAAGGAGAGCACTTTGTTGGTGTCAGGGTTAAACAGGGCACTAAAAAGAAAGGTAAGCATTCCTCTCTGATTTGGTAATAGCAGATAGACATAGTTTTGAGTATTTTGTATTTTCAATATGGTGTGTACAGCTGCCATTTCATAGAAGCATATTAAAAATCATAGGCACATTAAAAAGAGTGGAGACATAAAATGCTGCAACTGTTTTAACCCTGCAGGAGTTAGTGGCTATTTGGGAGCTTGAGACTACTGTTGACGTTCTTCATGCTGTCCTCGTTCCTCTGTGTTCCTTTGTGATTATGAAAATGAGACTTCAGGAAGATAACCTAGCATTCCAACTCACATGGCTGCCCAGGGAGGCCGTGGAGTCTCCTTCCCTGGAGATCTTCCAAACCCGCCTGGATGCCACCCTGGGCCCCGTGCTCTGGGTGTCTGTCCTGGAGCAGGAGGGTTGGACTAGATGATCTCTAGAGGTCCCTTCCAACCTCAGCCATTTTGTGATTCTGTGTGAAAGAAAAATCAAAGACTGCACCATCCCCTCTCCTTGCCACAGCATTTCACTGCTGCAGTGCACCTCTTAGGGGCTTGTAGGTCTGTGTGGATCAGACTTGCTGAGTCTTCTGATTCCACTAGTCAGGAATGATATCTGTGTGGTAACCCCATGCAATCCCAGCTGGACCTGGGAAAATTACCCTTCTCCTGCTGTGTGAGTGATGCTGCTGAGTTGTGCTTCAGCACAGTGGGTAGGGCTCTTGGTTGTTCCGGTCCATGGATAAATCAGATCCTTAAATTATTGCGGGCCACACAGATTTTCCATAAAGTATGATGGGCCCCTGTTTTTTGACTGGGCAAGTAGCATGTTTTCTAATGGTGTTGGGTACGTGCTAGCCCCCTTTCCATATATTTTGTCCATCTACTGTCCCAATGTAAGCCATTCTGCAGGCATGATAGCCCAGGTTTTGCAAAGGCTTGTCACTTGCCTAGGCCCTCTGCTCCAGTTCACATTCCTTGATTTTGACAAAGGAGGTTTGCACTACAATTTGGGATCCCATACTTCCAGCCGTACTGTCCAGTCCCATAAATACCCTGCCCTCAACTATTGATCCGTAGCATACAGATTTGTATGTACCTTTAGTCCCCAGAACATATTAATCAAAATAATGCAGGTGGACTGTGTAAATTTAATCCCTGTTTTACAGTACTGTGAGCCACTGAGGGGCTGATCTGGTCCCTTTGTGTCCCAGGAACTGTCATGAGTGGTGCAGAGTTGGGGCTCAGCTCACCCAGCCCAGGGCACACAAGCATCTTGCCACGGGCAAGCAGCAAGGCCTTGTCTGGTGCCAGGGGAATTCACATGTCTGCTGTCTATACCTTTTATATTACATGCAGAGTAATAAGGAAGGAATCCAAGGAACATTATAGAAAGGGGGTAGATAGGGCAGGGCCAAAGCATCAGACCTTCATAGGTAGGTGGAGCTGCAATTTATTCCTTTCCTTCCTCCTGAAGGAGAATAGATTTTCTTGTACAGATAAGAGCCCTACTACCTCACTCTAAAACCTAAATCTATCTCTGAAAGTTGAGGACATCCTTTTGCAACTGTTTATTTCCTTCTACAAAAGCCTTTCTCAAATGGCAAAGAGCAGTTTGCAAAGAGCCTGGCCTGAGCCAGTTTTCCTGAGGCTCTACCCGCTCTGCTACTGCAGTCTGGTGACACTCTTCTGTTTTACAAAAGATCCTCAGCATTCTCCCTTTAATGCACATTTTATTCAAATGAAACATCTGGCCCAGAAGAACCAATTTATAGTGTTCTCAATCTTCTCATGAGTTAATTTGTTTTTGGTTCTATTACCTCAGTTATCCCAGGGGTCCTAAAATTTTGGTAAACAATTCCAACTCACTAGACACTTTTATTAAAAAAAACAGTAGTCCCCTCCCCATGTAATAAATTCTGTACCCGCCACCTCGGAAATGCTCACAACCCCTCTGGATGCTGCTGACTGTGACAGATGTTAGGGGCTGCTGAACTGAGCAGCCTGATGCTGCTGAGGATCCCACAGCTCCACGTTTCTCAGTGCAGCCATTAGCAAGGCTGAGCAGGTGTCCACCTAGACACACATGCTCACAAAATACATGGCTGGCCATGCACAGCAACATTGAAAAGAACCACAGCATGCATAAAAACAAAAACTGCACCAATGACCTCATCCTGTTTCTGCAGCTTTCTGCCTTGTCATGTGTTTGCACGTAAAATGTGTGTGTGCATGTAAAATGCCATGCCTGTTTATGAATCTGAATGAATATTAATGGAAAGGAAAATCCACAGAGTCAAAGTTTTCTTCTTTTTGCTCTTGAGTTTTCTAGATGACCCAGAGCAAGTCGCACTGACTTTTTGCACTTGTCTTGCATGCGAAGGTAGAGTCCTGTGTGTCGTTTTTGCTGACAGCTATGCTGTGTTCCATTTTTAAAATTTTTATCTGGTTCCTTTAGCTCTAGTCAGTCTAGTAGCTCATCCAAATTCCTCTGTTACAGAGTTTCTGTATAGGAGGACACAGTGTGGAGCAAGCTTGCCAGCTATTAACTGATCTTTAATTAAAAAATATATATGTGTGTGTATTTGTGTGTGCGCATATGGACACCTCATGAAATTATCTTGACTCTACAAGTTGGTGCTGCTACATGAAATCCAGTCACAGCTTGTGCACTGACTTCCAAACCACTGCAATTAGGAAGTAAAATGATTTGAGATTAAGCCCAAATTCAGTTCTTTGGGGCTGTGTGGGTGAGCAATGGTTCATTAAGCTACTGTAACTTTTTTTTTCCTGCTGTTACCATTCTGTATGAAAGAATTTGTCTCGTTAATGCAGCTTGGCAATTTCTAGCTATGTGCCAGAGCTGTTTCTCCTCTAAGATGGTTGCATCTGCAGCAGGGCTTGTTTCTCTGAGGAATTTGCAGTAGCTGTTACTGTTGTGGGCTTGCTGACTGAGGAGAGCTGGAAAACACAAGGAGAGACAGACAGCAATAAACAGAATACAGAACCTCTGGTGCGTTTTCAAGATGTACTGAAAATTTTATTGAATTGTCGTTACAATTTCTTTTTAATCAGCCTTTGAATTCTTTGCTGAAGTCTGTGAGATCAATTGTTGCCTCAGAAGAGAAGACAAAGCGCAGGAATCATATAGCTGCCTGGTACACTGCCTATTGTTCACACGCTCATTTGCTCTAGTGGGTTTTTGTTGCGTGCAGGTATCCTAGGAAGAGGATTACGTCTTTGTTTTGAAATGCTGTCAGATGTTGCACAAAATTCCTTTTCTTTTTTCCAAAGTACAAAAACCGTCCTTTAACACCTTGATACCAGTCCTCTGATCTATTAAAAATAATTTTTCCTCTTTGTACAAGGGTACAGTCAAGTAATGCTAATGTGGAGAGAGAATTTACTGAGATATATAGGCATATTCTTGGAGCAAAGATTGTGTTTTAAAGAATTTTTGAATATAAAAGCGTAACAAGAGTCAGTAGCTGGGAGCTGGAGCTACAGAACTTTATTAAGAGGAATCTCAGCATGCAAAGTGGGTCTCTAATGAAACAATTCATAACTTTCTTGGATTTACTTGGGAGTCAGTTGCGCCAGAGGGGCACTTGACTGTCATCACGTTTGTTTAGATCTTCAAAAACGTGCCTGCAGTTCAGCATGTTTGCGTTTTTTCAGGAGACCTTATCAATTAAAGGAAAAAAATAATGCAGAGAAGTGTGGCTGTTCTTAACTGTTATAGACATTCCACTGGGTTTCCGTGGGGTACAGAGAGGCAACAAGGCCTTGAGTAGCCTGGTAATAAATTCATTTTAATGTATGTTTATTATAAACCATCTTCTTGTTTCTTGCCTTCCTGATAACTGCTGACTGGAAAATTGGAAAATTTTCACTGATACTTGTTGTCTTGCTGTTTGGTTTATAATTTCCGATCATGAGTGAGTCTGATCACATAAAAATTGCATATGGTTTAACTCCTAATAATTCTTGAAGAAGCAGTCTGTGATGCTACTTTTGGCTATTAAAAGTCAAAATTTGTTAATGTGTGTGCTTTTCTCACTCAAATAGGAGCAACACATCCGCAACACATTCCTGAGAGAAGCACTTTGAAGTTCATTCTAACCTGGTGTCTGGAAATAAGAGCAATTCCGAAAAAGGTTAAAAGTGCTTTTTTATATTGTAAAGAAATTCTTAGTAATATTTATGCTGTGTGATTTATTGCAGATGTATCCCTGCATGGCTTGTAGCTACCATGCTTTGTGGTCTATCACTTTGCGTGCTGCTGATTTTATTTCACTCTAAGCAGTCGTGCCCTTAGTTTGACCGATGGAGGAAAGTGCTGTTGGGCAGAACAGATACTGAAGTCCCTCTAGTCATTCTGCAGTGCCTGGAGCACAGGTGATCTGCAGGAGTCAGTGGTACTGACTTGGTACTGGATGCTTGGAAGGCTGACAGTATCTGACCTTGAGCCTTTGAGAGAGATCCTGCCTTTCAGTCAAAGAGGAACTGACTTTGACCACTCTGCCATTGAAAGTGTGCGTGCTGCTCTACCCAAGAATCCCATAATATATTTTAAATAATTTTAAAGCTTTTCCTTCATATTTTAGTAACCTGGCAGAGTGGGAGATGGACTCTTTGCTTGTATGGTATTTGTTCCTACAACTGTGAAAATTTTCCCTTGAGTTGTGGACCTCCAAAAAAAAAGAAAAAACTTACAAAGCTTACATGCTGTGTATGTTGTCTTGCAGTGCTCAATTTAATTTTCTCTTTAAGAAAAATTTTCAGTGCTGTTATGTAGGCAGGAAATACTAAGCAAGACATCACAACAACATTGACGTGACTTAATAAGTACCATATTTAGAGTAATACTTAGAGTAATACTTATTCTAAGAGTTTGTATTTTTCCTTCCTTGTTTCAGTAACTTCTTGAAAGGTGTTTTGTCTCAAATAAGTTTGTGTTATGGGACTGTTTGCTTGCATAAAGTGCATTTGGAAAAAAAAGAAAAAAACCAAAAAGGCCTTTTATATGTTTGGGGTTTATCTGGAAATGAGTTATATCTAACTGTCCTTGAGTTATATCTAACTGTCCTTGCCCATTCAGATTAGGTAACATATTTCTGACGTGCCAGCTTGTCGCATACTTCAAAAAAAATAGCAGCCAAGGAGGGGAAAAAAAACCCCAACCCAACAGCAACAAAAAAGAAACATAAAGAAACATTACCCATGTATTTATTTTTCCTAATAAATGGAAATGTGCATTGGAGAATAATTCTGTTCTCTGTTAACCTTCAGAGTGACTGCTTCCTGTCCCTAGGCAAGCCATGTTTTTCCCAAGTTTGTGAAGATTTGAGCAACTGGACAACTTTCCTGATCTCTGCTCTATTTGCTCTGCTGCAGGCATTTTTGCGAGCCCTTGTAGAGTGTACCAGTGATGCAGGAGAGAAACGGAGGCTTCAAGAGCTTTGTAGCAGACAGGGAGCCTCCGATTACACACGTTTCATTAGGGAGCCCAATGTCTGCCTGCTGGATTTGCTTCATGCCTTCCCAAGCTGCAGGCCTTCGCTCAGCCTGTTGATTGGTAAGTGGCTGACTTTAAACTTGACTAGATTTGGTTTCTGAAAACACAGTGGACTCTATGTTTGGCATCCCAGCTAGTGGAAAAGCTGCTCAATTAGCTACCTGAAAATCATAGTGATGAAACTAAAAACATTTTTGAGGAGCTAAGCTCTGTTATCCAGTCTGTAGTCTTTGGCCTTGATTCTGTGAACACTTTGGGACATACCTGTGGTTTGGCTGACTCTGGATTGCTCCTTTGTGTAAAAATAAGCGTAAGGTGTTTGTAGGATTAGGGCCTTCGAGAAAGCACTCATCACTGGTTAAAATTCAAACAGACTTGTTTTTACAACTTATAGTTTTCCTGCCTTCGTGTTCTTTTCTGCCTTTCTGTCTGTTAAAACAAAGTTTTCGTCAGTAATTTCATGTTTATATAATGTCCAACACACTCACTGGCTTCTCTACATAAAACATTGAAGGAGTGAGACTTCCAACTCTAGCCATCTCAAAGGCCTAGGAAAATGCTGACAGGTTAGAAATAGGAATGAGTTTCTCACTGTGTTTTACCATCAGAAAAAACAAAGTTGCTTTTTCAAAGTTTTTGTGATATCTTTTTCCACCCCATGCCAAATTCAGCCTACTATAAAATCCAAGCATCACTGCCATATTTTTGCTGGCAAAGCCTGTGAAGCCATTCTGCCCTACAGTGAAAAGTAATCACCAGATTCTGCAGGAAGATGTGAAGTTGCCAAGTTAGGGGAAAATCTGTAAGCAGCAGAGGAAAAGAATTATGATACTGAAATGTTTAAAAATATTTGTAGAAGAATATTTTTTTTGTAGAAAATAATTTTATAGAAAAGTTATGCATATTATAAATTTTAGAGAAAATATGCAGTTGTTGTTCTTAGCATAAAAAGAGCACCCATGCCTTGACTTGACTTTCTTTTTTTTTTTATTTTGATTTGGTAACAGCAGTGGACATGGCAGGAAGCCCTGCACTCTTCTCAGACACAAGATAGTGGGATGCAGGAGGAAATAAGAAAACTTGAACCTGTAGTCTCTCTTTCCTAGTACACTGTATCAGAGATTTTAAAAAGAGATAAAATGTCTGCTCCATTGTGTACCTATAGAAACATTTGCAAGCAGAAAGCAAGAACACTTATCTTAGCGTGTCCCACAGCACTTTGGAGTGCTGTTATGGAATTGGACTGATTAAGAGGAAGCTTTGTAAAGTTTTCCAGTGTGTGTCCTTAGGGACGTAATGGCTTAATGCCTTCTTTACATGATTTCCCTGAATTAGGATTTCTTAACCTTAACTTTATTGACTGTGGCCATTCCTCCCCACACTGTATGCTTAGCTTTCTGTCCTTTTAATGTGCCCTTCTCAGCCAAAATTATCAGTGTTTGTGATAGAACAAGTCATTTATTTGAAGAGTGAAAAAAGTCAGTTCAACCTGTGTGTTTATGTGTGTATATATGTGTGTGTGTGTGTGTGTGTGTGTGTGTGTATAGTATGTTTATATAGAGAGAGAAAGAACGACTATATGCTAATGTATGTGTATAAACACACACATAAATGCAGACATAAATATTTTTGTGTTTTAAATTTCAAAATTAGTGGTTTGGGGGTTAATTACAAACATTACCAATGAACTCCTGTCCTAGATTTAAATGAGTGCTAGTTAAGACTACAGCATGTTGAGTGCTTTGTATTTTTTAGGCTGTGATTCCAGATATCTCTGAAATTTGCACGGGTATTCATGGTTTGAATTATATTGGCATATCTGGTTCTTGGAGATGTGTGTGTGTGTGTGTGTATGCATGCATTTATGATTAGGACATTTGAGAAACTGTCATTTAAGTAGTTCATATTCTCATAATGTTGAGTTCCATTAAGTACTCTTGATGCAAGATGGGGAAAATCCCATCCCACTTTGTCCACTAGCTATTGCCCTTCCTTTTGGGGACCTTACAGGATCTCTAAATGATTAAGAGCCCCATAGCTGAATTGTTGTGGCCTTTGCCATCTTGTTTTATGGGATTTCTACCAGAAAGACTAAATGGGATTTCTTACCACAAAGACTAAAAAAGGATTCAAAGTAGAATTTGGGTTTTAATGTCTTATTTGCTAGTGGAAGCATTCAGTATTAAAAGCATGTTTTAATTTAACTTTAATCTTATTAATCTGTAGTAGTGTAAAGCTTGGTATGTGATATTTTGATTTGTCACTAGCATGAATCAAAGCATAAGCAATATTTATTATTTTTATTTTTCAGAGCATCTTCCTAAATTACAACCCAGATTCTATTCAGTTTCAAGGTAATGAAATATTCACATTATATCTTTCCTGTAATTTTGGTATGCTCTGTCAGGAGTGTGTGTATGTAAGCATATGTGTATGTACATACATATATATGTGCACATGCACACATGTTTATGTGTGGTTGTATCTATATACACAATCTGATATTATATAGAGAACGTGATTATGTTGTTATGCCTTATTTCTGTAAGGAGTTTTGCTTTGAATTTTTGATTTAGCGTTTGCTGTTGAATTCAGCTGTATCTTCTCAAAACCCAGGCCTTGCTGTTCCCTTTTCTCATCTGTTTCTCCAATGTTGGCAAGAGAAGTGGGAAGCACAGAAAATTCCCCCTAGCAAAAAAAGAAAAAAAAAATCTGCAAATAGAGTGGCCATACTCACATGGCAGAGGAAGCAAAACTTGTCCAGGCAACACTGTGCGGAAGGGTCTTCATGCGTTTTTGAAATGTATGTCTTACTACCCTCGAGTGGATGAGTTGCTCATCTTAATGCTGTGTTCATCTTGAATTCTTTCCTGGAAGGCCATATCTGCTTTCAGTCTGCCTCGTCACTCCTTGGACTTGCTTAGTTTAGCCTTTTGAGTAAAGCAGAGAAGTAACTGATAGCTTGGGTGAGTTTCAGCCCTTGGAACATATTTTCTTCCCCCTCTTCAGTAGGGCTCAAACCTTACTCACTGCTGGGGCCTCTGCACCATTCCTGCCTGGCTGCATGATGTGTGGAGTGCACTGCCAGACTGCCCCTTTTCCACAAGTATCTCTCTGGCTTCCTACAAAATTACACTAGTAGCCAGTTGCTGCCCAGGGTGTCTTTCATTTCTGTTTCTCAGGGGTACTGATTAGTAGGAAAGCGTCTCTGAATTCCCCATTGAGGGGGTCTCTGACATCTCAGCCGCTCCACTGATTTAGGGAGACTCAGGGAAGTTGCTGTATGTTCTGCAGGTCACTTTGTTGCTTTTTCTACCAATCTCCCATTCTTAACATTTCCTTGTTGAAGTAGAGGATAGTTTGAAACAGGAGGAATTCCTCCTATTTCAAACATCAGTGTTTTGCCTGGCTGACAAGGAATGAATTGCACCGTGTGAATGTGGTGGAAAGGAATTGTCGTCCCATTTTGTAGGTCATTGGCCTCTGAGTGCACCCTTAAGATTTTCTAACTCTATACAAATACCACATTGTTAAAGGAGCACTGAGAATCTTGACATCAGTGAGGTGGTTTGGGCTGAAAATAGACCCAACGTACAGCTGTCTGTCACACAGTATTCTCATTGCTTCTTTTTAATATATGTTTCTTTGCAGTTCGAACTTATTTCAGCCAGGAAAAATGTGCTTTGTGTTCAGTATTGTGGAGTTTCCTGCCTATCCCACCAGAGCAGTCTCATGGAAAGGCGTATGTACAGGCTGGCTTGCTGAGTTAGTTGGACCTCTACTGCATACTAGTAAAAACATTCAGGATGCAAAGGGAGGAAGCCCTTTAACTGAAAAGGTATAAATATTAAATCTAAACTCTTACCGTATGAAGCAATTTCAGTTTGCTTGTGGCTGTGATAAAATGTAGATGTTGATCCTATTTGGTTGCCCTTCCCTCTGTAACATGATTTGATCTTCACTTCTGACTTGCCAAAAATGTGTTTTAATTTATCTGTGGATACTTGAAGCAGTGACATTTCGCATTGCTGAAAAGCCAGAGTCCTTTGTCCTTCCACTGGACCCCTAAGCAAGTTTTGGAAGATGTTTTCACCTTCCTCTAGTGGGATATACCCTTGTATATCCCCTTCAGTGGTTACTCCTGAAGGACTTTTTATGGCTGTTAGTCCTGTAGAAGAGAGACACTTGATTGCATTTGAAGAAGACTGGCAGAAACACAAGGGGGAAAATTATGAAACTTTTGCATTTTGTCAGATTTTGCACACAGTTTTTAGGAAGGCCGCATTATCAAATATCACGATAGGAAAAACTGATTTGTGGTGTTTCTGGAACCAAAGATTGTTCAGGGTTGGAGATGTGATTAGGAGATAATACCTTTCTTTTCTTCTGCTGTCCTTTAATGAGAAAGAATTTCAGTAATTAATCAGGCTCGAGCTTGTTAGGTATAAGTAAATTAAAACCTTGGAGTACTACTATATAATTAACATGTCAAAGAACTTGGTGTAGTTTAATCTATATTTGATTAAGGAAGTGGAAACAAGCATAAAAGTTTATTATATGAAAGCTGTAATAATTCAAAGTATTGCTCTAGCAAAAATGTGAGAGCAAAATGAAAAATTTTCTTCTAAATTTCTAAAAGCTAATTTAAAGGAAAAACTGATTAATATGTGCATGATACGTCCTATTCCAGTATTCAGAACTGGAATTTAAAATCCAATTGATTTGTGATATGTTCAAGGTGAAGCGTCAGAAGGAGCTGGAATGGAAAGAAAAGGAAAAGCTTTAGTACAAAGTGAGTCTGAATAAAGTTCAGCACTGTTTGCATCTACCATGTAAGTGAGAATTCAGCATAGATAAATGTGCAGAAATACATGTACGTCGCAAAATATCTGGCATATAAATAAAAAAATAGATGAGTCTTGCAAAAAAAATAGGAATTGCAGAGATTTACAGAATAAATGTGTGTACTATTTGCTGCATTCTTTGAATGAAACACTAGTTTGGAATCCTTACTAGAAAAACAGCTTGCTAGCTCAAATTTGGTTTATAATTGTAAATTTCACAAAAAGACAGATTTTAGTCTCCTTAGCCAGAGTTATACTTCTTTTTATTTTTTAATCATCAAAGCAGAAAAACAACACTATCATTTAAACCACTACAGATATTACAGTGCTAAGAAATGAGAATTGTTAAACCACTCAGGCTTACAGAATAGAATCTGAGTAACTTGATCAAGTGCTTTATTTCTTAAATTTCAAAACAGATTTGGTTTCTCTCTTAATGCATCCAATTTATCCTGGATATGTTTGGTTTGCTTATGACTTCAATGGATGACATTCAACTGTTGTTCTTGTTGTCAAATCTTAGATATTCTTTTAAAGACATAAAAATCATCAGCTTTCATTTTCTGCAAGACTTTCTAAGCTAATCATGGTTCAGAAGAACGTAGTTCTGAAGCTCTTGGGAAAATGTTTAGGCTTCCTTTCCCTCCAAGCTTATCAGTGGAAGAACATAAACCACTTTAAAAGATCTCGGAGTTGTTGCTTGCTCCCTGTCACCTGTGTGTCTCTTACTGAAGATAATGGAAATCTTCTATGAAATTTAAGAAAGGAAGCTTGTTTATCAGTAGCCTTCAATTTGCTGTAAATGATTCCTCACCTGCACTGGGATATTTTCACAAGTCCACAATATGGAAAAGTTTCATAGCAAAAATTCACTAGCTTCCTTTCAAGCACCAACACCAAACTTTCCAAGAATGCTAAAATTTTGCCTGAAATTGACTCAGTCAGTTTTCATGTTCAGAAGTTCAAGTTTTTGTGTTCTTGTCTAGCTTTTCTCCAGATGGGTTGATAGGTCTGTAAATACGGTGTGTTTTCAGAAACTCATGATTCTAAATGGCAGTGTGACATTAAATAAACTCAGGCTGTCAGGATTTGGAGGGGCTTTGTGTAAATATACTACATGAATGTACTCAACGCTCTAAAACTTCCATGATATTTCTACATTTAAGAATATTTTTTCTCAATTATGTTCTATCAAATTCCATTCTAGATACCTATTTTTGCTCGCCCAAGCTGTACTTTCCACTTACCTGCAGACCCATCTGTCCCTTTCATGATGGTTGGTCCCGGAACAGGAATTTCACCATTTATTGGCTTCCTGCAACATAGGTATGCACCAAATCATTACATGGAAAAGAGCCTATGTAATTTTAAAGAAGAAAACATAGCTCCCCAGGTACTGAGTACAGATGCAGTTAGTCTTCATCCTTTTGTCCATCCTTCTGTCCATACTAACTTATACTTCTCTCTGACTGAATTAAATGCCTGCAGTGGATATTTGAGGGACTGCATGAAGCACAAACATAAAGAAATAAAATCTTACATCTGTGTTTTACTATTGGATGCCCTGTAAGAGTTTAATAGATTTTTGAAACTTTATTGAATTGCCTTTGATATTCAAAACCCCTTCCCTTCATAACTGATACCTGTATTGCAAGGCTTGGCCTCAGGTATAGTCTTTGGTTGTCTTATTTGAGAGGCTTAAGTATTAAATGACTAAAGAATTTGCAATTGCTGCTGATTACAAAAGGCTTCAGCAAGCAACAGTTGAAGCACCAACAATTATTGGGGTTATCTGCGCTTCTGGACATAACTCTTGACACAAGTCAAATTTTATGTTTTTTATTAAAAATCATTAAAAATGCATAGTTTCTGACAAAATACAAGACAGTTAACGTAATTCTACCTTATTTTGTAAGTATAGTATGAGAGGAAACAAAAATTACAGGAACCTATACCAGAAAATGGCAACTCATTTGATTGGTACAATAATGTGATAGAAAATCGTAGCTATTTTCGATTCTAATATGTTAAAACCATAGTTGTGCACTTAGCATTATGACTAAGAACAAAGAACGTGGTGTACCTATTTATATATGTATGAGATAAACATAACTTTCTCTATGCTTGGCCTGAAAATTCGAGAAATAAACACCTTCCATCACATGGGGATGCTGACAAGTAACATCAGTTGTAGCGTTTGCTGAGAAACCATGATGAAACTGGTTTCCGTATTTATGTGATATAAATAGCCTCTGTACAGAAATGTTTTCACAGAAAATATTTAAATCATTTAAATTAAAAGCTGCATTTTCTATTTTGTCTAAAAACAAGAATGGAGCCACAGTATTAATGGAGCCACAGGATGTTATGGAAAGGGACACTGCTATGTTTTTTTGTTTGTTTGTTTTCCTTATCTACCAAAAGTGTTCTGTACTTTGTTTTTTTCATTTGCGTGGATTCAAAATAGAGAGTTTTATTCTTCATATGACTTCTTAGTAGAGTGAAGAGTGGCTTTATGGAAGATCTGGGCGGCTGAAATTGTTTGAATCTGTCAGCATGTCACCATTAGGCAGAAGTGTTCTTACTTGCTCCAAACAGTGCAGTTACATGCCAGTTTATATATATATATGTATATATATATACACATATATACATATATACATATACATATATACACACACACACACATTTTATTATGGGGGAAAAAGAGAGGTTTTTTTTCACTCACAGGCTTTGAGTCAGTGCTTCTGAGATGCTGTGATGGTCAAGTGGCATTTCAGATGATATTTACAGTGCCTGAATGCTTCAAGTGCACCTTTGTTTACAATAATAAGCACCAGAAAGATCCCCTCCTGTGGGAATGCGTTTGCTTTGGTTTGCTACTGCTTCTCCCTAGTCCTACAAATATCAAACAGGACCAGCTTTGTTGAGTGTAGCTTACTAAGGTTTTAAGTGATTGTTTTTCTTCATGCTTTCCACAAGACATTTCAGTTACTGAAATACATTCTCCAATTACCTGTTTTCAGTGAATCATTTGGCCTCTATTCAATTCTCCTTGAACCTTTTTACTAAGCAGAGCGGCCTCAGTGGCCTCGTTGATGAAGGCTGAGGCAGAATACTGCAGGTTTATTTATGCCTGTTATTACCACATTACCTATCCCATTCAGCAACAGCGCTAGGTTTGCTTCGTTCAGCCTCTTGCCACTAGTTTAGAAGTGGAAGCTCTTCAAGTTGCCCTTGAGGTCCCTGCCTAGTCTCAGCTCCAGCTGAGCTTTGGCTTTCCTAACATCATTCCTACGTGCCCAGACAGTGTTTCTAAAATCCTCCTTTGTTGCTTGTGGATAACAAACACATCTTACCCCTTTCCATGGTTTATGGACCAAAAGTGAGTCCTCAAATGGAGCTGGAGAATTTGACTGTTATTTATCTTAAGTCTTTGTGCATTTCTGCCAGTCTAGAGGTTTATTACAGCACTGCTATAAGTCACAATTAGGTTCTAGGAGAATTAGATTTTGTATTACTGATAGAATAGGATTTACATACTAGCCATATGCACTTTTTATTTTCGTCTTTTTTAGGCAAAAGCTCAGAGAAGAACATAAAGACTGGGAATTTGGAGAGACCTGGCTGTTTTTTGGTTGTCGGCATCAGGATAGAGACTATTTATTCAAGCAAGTTAATTACTTAGCATTCTGTGGCTCATCTTATATTTAGGAGGCTGTTTATCTCAAACCAATTACTGACAGTTTTTATTGTCTTGCAGAGATGAGCTCAGATGTTTTCTTGAAAGTGGCACATTAACTCATCTTAAGGTTTGTTTCTCAAGAGACTTGCCAGCTGCAGAGGTAGCCCCACCTAAGTATGTGCAAGATATGGTTAGGCTTTATGCTAAGGAAGTCGCCAGAATCCTGCTGAAAGAGGGAGGCTACTTCTACGTATGTGGGTGAGTAGAATGTGGGGAGATGAAATGTCTCAGCAAACAGAGTGCCCCTAGCAGAAATGGAAAGAGTTACAGCTGTCTGAGAGAGAAAAAAGAAAAAAAGACCAACATGATACTAAAAGTAGTCTTCCTACAATGTCAGAACTTTGTTTGCTATGTCTAGTTTTGCAGTTTAGCTTTTAAAGACGTTATACAAGTCCACTGCTTGCTTTAGTCAATGATCTGTTTCTTTGTATTCAATTAAACTGCAAAAGTTCAAGATCCTCAAGGAAAGGAGATACCTGAAGATACACGATGATAGGACAGCTTTGAGATAGCGGTATTCCCTTGCTGTCCTGCAGATTTGGAGATAAGATGGGTCAGGATGCTACCCAGACGTTATAATTTGAAATTTCACTTCAGATTACAAATTGTGTTGCCTTTATAGAACAAGAACTCTGCAGAAAGAATATATTTTAGAGTGGAAAGTTTTATTTGGAGATGCTAAATGACCTGCAGGTTTGAGATTTTGAGATTGTTATATGACAATATAATGGCAAATACTTCAACAGGTCCAATTATCCCTAAAAGAAAACATTTATTCTGTGACAGCTCAACCAGCAGTCCAAGGCTTTTCATACAAGTTGTAGTGCACGGAGAGCTTTGAAATGTTTGCTTTAGAGAAACCCTAGTTGTCAATGCTCATGACAGCCTAGTATAAACATTGCCAGCCAATTCAGAAGCTTGCTTGCTTTTTCTTTTTTTTTTGCCTTTTTCGGAAGATGCAGGTAGAAGTAGAAAAATACTCTGGTATGCATTTGTTTTTCCTCCATTTCTTTTCTAGAGATAAGAAGCACATGGCTGATGGTGTAAGTGATGCTGTAGTAGACATTTTAAGCACGGAGATGGGAGCTGACAGATTGGAAGCAATGAAAGTACTGGCCACACTTCGAGAAGCAAAACGATATTTGCAGGATGTTTGGAGCTAATTATGTTTATGCCAATTTGTTTTGATTTTTTTCTCTGCCTTGTTAATGCAAAAGCTTTTGCATTTTGCTTTTTATGCTGCGTATTGGCTTTCGCTTTTGACTAAAACCATTGTCATCAGTCCTGTCTGTAGTCACACAATTTTTAGTGTTCCATACTGACCTTTTAAACAGGATTTTGAAACCTTTAAGCAAGAAACCGGGCCAGTTAGAAGTGTAACTTTTTTTTTGCAACACTGAATAATGGACTCTCAGTGCCTTGATTCTCCAATTTTAACAATGGTACGAATAGAAAGCAGAAACTTACGCACTTCTAGACTATAACCTAGTGTGTTTATATATGTATTTTTACCTATAATGTGTACATAATGAAATTATTGAATAAATATGGTGCTACATGCAAATCTGTTTGTCATTAAATGCATTACTGTCTTGCCAAGATTTAGTTAAATGCTTCTTAGATACTTCCTCAGGCTATATATTTTTTTTCAGTTTGCACAATAATATTAATTACCAAAGAGGAACAAATGCTGAGAATATTGCACAAGAAAGATAGTTACAGAATTTCAGCTTTGGAGATGTATTTTTTGTTTGGGGTTTTTTTTCCTTGATTCTCAGCTTTTTCATTTCACTATTCAAATACAATATTCTCAGAGTTTTGCTCCATTCGTGCTAATGATTTTCCAGATTGTTCTTTCAAAGCTGCTTTCATTACTGTCTCTAACATCTTTTGTGGTTTAATGCATGAACAGACTCACTGATCAGCCTAAATTTTATTGCTGTAGAAAATATTGTTAGTAAATACTACCTTGAATATTTTTAAGTCATAAACATGGTAAAATACTTTATTTTAAAAAGTTGCCCTTGCATGTGAAAATGCAGTGCATGAATCAAGTTGTTGAAATCTCCAGTCACTTCTCCAACAAGGGCCATGAAGTGAATTGATGGAAGAGCAGGAGTCTAATAGTCATTCATACAACTTCTTTTCAGATCTCCCTTTCTGATTCTTTCAGCTTCCAAACATCAGTGTTGTCTTCTTGTTACGTGTCATACCTGTATCTCTAAAGACCAGCACAAAGTATGAGAAAGCATAATTTTAGCCACATTATTGTGTATTGCCAGGAGAGAATTCTGGGTTTTGTTCTGCCTCATGCATCGTTGGAACTATTTAACCTATTTTAAGGCTTGTATTTGTCTAGTGATTGTTAATCTGTGGATAAGTCATATTTTTCCATTAATGTTTCTTGAAGATCAGTTAGAATAGCACCCATTTTTAAAGAAGCATCATAGTAGTGAAGTGCCTTAAATTAAGGTTTAATGATGGTTTGAATGTCCATAAAAGCAATCCACTGAAGTTTTATGTAGAAATTCCTCTGCAGCATGGTTGTATCAGTCAGCTAATCAACTAGAAATAAAGCTGCACACAGAGAGGGGGAGAGAGATGATGAGATGATTTAGAATAATTGTACATACATATAGTACAATTTTTATATCTGGTACATAAGGGTGAAAAATCTGCTGCTTTTGAAAAGGCTAAGGTGATGTGGAAATGAGTGTTTTGCATAAGCCAGTCACCTTTACATGTTTCTAAAATTATTTATCAAAGGTAAAGCTTATAATAATTTTAAAAAGGGAAATCTTCTGCTAACTGGAAGTTGCACCCTCATATGAATGTGTGTTCCTTGATAGGCTTTATTCTTTACTCTGCCCTTTGGAAGATGTTGGAGATTAGAGTGACAAGTTTTTTGATTGCAAATTACAGCTTTTCCAGATTTCTTTCTTGCCTTTTTTTTTTTTTTTTTTTTTTTTTTTTTTTTTACATTGCAATGCAGAAGCTACCCTGACTGTTCTGTATTATCACAACTTATAGTGTAGGACCTTTTGAGGTACTGACACTCTTATTTTACGTTTCTCTTCATTGCATTTGACGAAGGGTCAGCTTTACAACTTTTATTCATGTGTTCCACATTCCCAATTATCATTTCTCTCTTGGTGTTAAAATATTTGTAATAATTGATAATACAAAGGTAAGTCTATAGTAAGTAAGTCCATAGTAAAACAAATGATTCTTGTTATCTTAGAAAAACAAAAATACTTGCAGTTACTCTGATATTTGTTACTATGTAGTACTAAACCTAAAGTTTAAACAAACTAGAAGATCCATAACAAACACCACTTTCTTTTATGTGGAGGATATATTTTTGCATTAACCCTGAACAAGGAGGAATGAAAGCGAAGAATTCCAACACCAGTCATGGAGGCTTCATGAAGGTTTGCAATAGGAACTGAATGTTTGTCTTAATTAAACTGTGCCACTGTATTGCAAATACAGCTTATTTATAGCTCCTCAGTGTTTCTGGTCAGAAAGCAGAAAGATTGGAGATGCCATTTGATTTTTACTCTGTCTCCTAAGCTAACGAGGGGATATTCTGGTATCTTTTAATTCTTTCATTAGAAAAACATCATGTGTATATTTATTTTCTTATTTGCACACTATGTTACAGAATTCCTGTATACAGAATACAGAATTGTCAAAAATAAATCCTTACGATCGTGTGCTGTTTCTTGTATGTAGTTGGGATGTTTGCAATTAGGATGCAATTAGTGCTGTGGCTGTTAGGCTGCTGTTTCAGAGAAGCATGAGTGGTGAAACATTACGACTTGTTTTCATGTCATTTTTAATATTACCCTGAATTGTGAAATGGGGGTTGTTATTTTTTCAATCTATAATTTCAGAAGAGTGTTTTCCTTTTTAAATTATTAAGCCTGTGTGTATTTTTTTCACTTTACTGTTTCCAAAATTCATCTCCATCTCTTTATTTCTTTCCCTTTCCTTCATTCCTCCTTTTCCCAACTTTTGAGAAAATTTAAAATATTGAACATAATGTGATGAGGAAGCCATATAGCAACCTGTGCAGATGCCACTCATCCTGAAATGTATTTTTTTCTTCCATTTTTTTTTTCTCCACTACCAACTTTTTGCCCCAATGACAAGGCCAGAACAGAGAAATGGCAAAATCACAGATTGTCACTGATGAGTCCAATGAAGGATTGACCTTAGTTGCTCAGTGGCACCTTAGATACTGTATAGTATTGGAACATTTGGAAAAAAAAAAAAAAAAAAAAGTAAAGGTCAGAGACCCCACATGATTAAATCTCAAAATAAAATAAGCTTGTGGAATAAGACAAACATCAGCTGGAAACAACCATCTTTTAAACAAGATAAAATGTTTTGTTCTGACAAAGCTGAAATTGCTTTGGGCTGAAACATGCTGAAGTGTACTCCAGAAATTGATTTATATATACACATACATACTATGGAATGGGCAAAAAACTTGAACTTGAGAGACTAGTGGATCTTATCAGTAATGTAATTAAGAGTCCTGCATATAATTCTCTTCCCCTTTAGTACTTTCATTGTTCTATCTGATCACTTAACAGGTGTTTACACTATTCTAACAGCTATTAACTATTCCCACAGCACTCCTGTTAGATAAATTTATCTTCATTTTATACAAGGGGGAACCCAGGCAAAGAAATGCTAATAAGCTCCCAAGATAAGGAAAGAAAAGAGCAGAGAGTCATGTTTTTCCAAGCATCGTGCTGTAATTAATTTACAGATCCTTATTTCTCAGATATTTCCGCTAATTTCATTGTATAATTTTCACTAACCAAAGATTTTGCATTGCCTAAACTGCAAATGAGTATGTCATAGCAATGTGAAAAGAATGAGTTATTCCGAGGTCTTTTTCTATGTAGCCTATATGTTCTCTCAGCAACTCTTTCGCTTGGTCTAAAATGACTCCCTTTCCAGATAAGAGATTCAGAGAACAGTTACTAAGTTACTAAGTGCTGCAGTTTAAAGATGTCTGTGTAGATAGTGGGGGAAAAAAAAATAAAAAAGCTGTATTATCTAGTATCTAGTCCAATTGAGGAAGATGAGGCCAGGTGTGAGAACGTAGTTTTTCAGCAGAACTCCCCTTGCTCCTTAGTTTCTTTAACAACTGTTCTTGCATATAGGGCCAAACAGAAATTTGGATGAAGTCAGAGACCGTTTCTTGTTATCATCTATTCAAGCCACTGTAATATAGCTAATTAAAAAGCCTTCTATTTGAGAGTTTACTATTATCATTGTTAATAAAGTTATAAAGAAAATGTTATTTTAAGTGTAGGCATTTGCTTTATGGAGAAATTCTCTACCTGTGATAGCTGTGGCAGGTTATTTCAGTGGCCAGCCCAAAACTTGACTACATGTCTTGTGTATTTGTGCAGATTCCAGGCAGAGGTCTGTTAAGCCCAGGCAAGGCTTAAATACTCAGGGATGTGGTGAACTGCTGTGTTTTCTAGTTGATGAGCTGTGTTTTTATTGTTTCTGCCAGCTGTATCAGCTGTTACTTATCAGCCTCTGAGACCTTCTGTTCTTAGGTAGACTCAAGATGGAATGTTTCTTCTCTTCCATGCCCCCATAGGAACTTCTGTGCAGCAGATTGTCCCTCAGAATTGTTAGTTTTGTTACTGGTGGGAGTGTTGTCTTCATTGGCCCTTAGTTCTTTTGCAGTGATTTTAATTTGTTTTTCTTGTGGTTTCAAAATCTCTTCTTCCAGGAGCCCAGCAGGAATCAATACTGTAGGCTTGCGAGAGACTACACCTAACAGATTACCTTGTATTTCAGTTTTTATTTAGCTGGTTAGATATGGTCACAACAGTAAAAGTTTTACTATTCCAATACATTCAGTACAATTTGTTTTCCATGCTTGCTTATTAGAAGTTCTTCGGTTCCTTGCTGGTTCTTGCAGTTCTTCACATTACTTTGTAGGGAAGGAGATACTTGCGGGAGTCATGTGCCAAAACTAAATCCAGTAGTCCAGGTTCAGAAACTAAATTGATTATATAAAACAATATTAGAATACTTTCAATATTATTTTTCATTCTGTAATGCTGACTAAAAAATAAATTATTTTTATTGTTGTTTGTGGAAGAATAAAGTGGGAAAGTCACTGCATGTCTGCTAGTGACTATGGGTTATTAAAGAATATTAAATCTCTGAAAACTATGATCATCAAGCTTCGGTCAGTTATGGTGATCTAAGAGATGGATCTGTATTGGCAGAAGGGTACGAGCAATTGGTTTGGAGCTAGACTATAAATAGTTGGTATAATAGTTTAAGAACCCTAGATTACTTTAATGCTTTTCCAGATTCTGCTCATGAGTTGAAGAAAATGTGTAAATATAAAAAGTTTTTCGGCATTATTAGAGTTGCCTGTCATAAAGAAATGAAAATACCTTGAAATTAATGGCAATAGCAGTATGACGATTTGTTCAGGGTCTTGAAATGCTATTAAAATATATTTCATATTGGGAAAACAGTAAGTCTTATTCAAATGCAAATTGT